GTGTCAATAAAATTATCCCCCTGATGGAAGATGGTGAAAATATGATTGTCACTCAAGAGAATAAAAGTTTATACGTTGAAAAATATGTTGAATATGTATTTCAGAAATCATGTGAAACACCTTATAAAGCGTTTGAAAAAGGATTTCTTCAAGTTTGTGGTGGTTATTCATTAAAATTGTTTCAACCATCTGAATTACAGGTTTGTTTCTCCTCTGATCTTTATTCTATTCATAATGGGTTCTATCTTCATTTATATATTAATATATTGTAGTATTAATATTTCATATCTAATCTGATAAATTGTCAGTTTAGAAGTTCATTCATTCTACTTTCAATCAATAAATCTCAGGTTGTGAAGTCGTGCTCCATGTACTTCGGTTGTGATAGTCAGATAATATCACTAGCATTCAGATTTAAAGTATGACTTGAGGCCGATTACATAAATGGTGTATACGTTTACCAAGAAGTCTCTATTTGTTCTGCTTAAGTTTACTACAAGGTAATGTAATAAACATTAATATTTTGCAGTAACCTTAAGCTTGTGATGACATGATATCAAATAAAAATTCATCTACAATTGGGTTTTTTTCTCTAAGAAATTGATTCAGACATCTGTTACACAATTTTTATTCATCATTTTCATTCAATCTAATAAACTGTCTTTGCTAACATTTTTTATTCTATTCTATACTGTAGTCTTTAGTTGTCGGTTCAGAAGTCGTAAACTGGGATGAACTTCGTCAGAATACAACATATCAAGGTGTCTACTGGGATCGACATCAAGTGATTATATGGTTCTGGGATGTATTATTGTATGATTTTACTATTGAAGAGAAAAAGAAATTTTTACGTTTTCTTACTGGTTGTGATCGTGTACCAATTGTTGGTTTTAGTGGTGTAAAGGTCAGTGTATTGTGTAGAACATGATAACTTATTAGATGTAATTTTAATTCTAAACCTGAATGTTATTTCTAATTATGTTTTCCAAATTTTTAATTTTTATTTTGTCATATCCGATACACATAGTTTCTCATTATTTTAGAAGAAAGTAAAACTTCGCATAACTCTCTTCATATCGATAAAGCAATATATTTCAGTGTAAAACATATAACCAGAAAGTCAAATTATGTATTTAATGGTTACTAGTTTATATTTCTATTATATTCTAGTAATTTATTTTGCTTGATAGCATTATTTAATGCTATCTACTTCAGGACCTTCGGACCTCACGCTAGGCATTTAACCCCTTGTTTACAGAATCGGTATCCAAGGGTTTACATTTCTAACCTCAGTCAAACAGTAACGCTACGTAATCATCTTCCAGTTCTGTTGGTAGGAAATCGATACACACCCGACATGACTGAACTCCATTGGTTGCAGCTTTTCTCTAGAAATCTGGAAATTATTTATTGAAATTAGTTACTACTGCGCACATGGTTAATTATTAGTAGTATAAAAGTTCTCGACAAATGAGTGACTGTCTGAATCCATTAGTCAAGTAGGATAAAATGTTATCGTTTGAAGCAAAAGGGACTGAGACCGAATGCCAAAAGAAACACTAACTATGGGATATAGGTACATTCAACTAACGAATTCCAAATAGAAGGAAATCCGCGGCCCTGATTCCGCTGCTAGCCATATTCTGTCTCCTTTATGCAAAATATTAGTTTTGTTAAACTTCTTAACTTTTGAAAAGTGTACAATCAGAATTTGACACTTATTACCCGTATTCCCCTGCGAGACGTCTATTATTTTTTGATTGAATAGTGTCTTCAGCCTTTTGTGAGCTTCTAAAAACTTTGATGAATTCTCAAGAGCCCTCCATCACAGAGCTGATTTTACTACAATTTCTAATCTATGTCTAGAAACGATGCATAAATCAGAAACTGTATCTGTAACTCTCAACTCCGGGTATACTTTTTTTCCTAAAGTCTAACGTAGAATGCTTTGACCTCTAGCACGCTACAATAAATCTTGAGCTGTGACGAGTAAAAATATAAACAATGATTCTCCATAAAATAGTTTCATGTTACGATTTTCTTAATGCTCACTCCGTGACAACACTTTCAATCAAATTTTAAATATCAAATGTGAAATATTAGCACGATTTCAAAACTCCATTTCAGATAACTCACTCCTGGAGATCATGATTTATGAATCGAATCATTGAAGCGTTAGGTCACCATAATTTCTGCTCTAATTTATTTATAATTACCCCTTATTAATTCATGAATCTTAACTAATTGTAATATAGAATTCTTTCACAAAAGCTTCAATTTGGTTGCTTAATCTTAAGATCAATTAATGCATATCAGTTTAATACGGCCTTACTGTATTTTACTGAGTTTTTAATACTTTTAGTATATACATACATTCTCATATTTCATATTATCCCACAATACAATATACGGTTGTTATTATTATTTCTTTTCTCTTATAGATTACAATTCAACCAAATAATAGTGGTGATGATTTTTTACCTGTAGCACATACATGTGCTAATCTATTAGATTTACCACAATATAGTTGTAAAGAGATATTAGCTAAGAAATTATCACTAGCTATTCAACAAACAGAAGGTTTCGGTTTAGTTTGAATATAAAATTGTCAATTTATTCTCTTGGTTTTCATTTCATTTTGAAATAAATATCCTTGTGTGTGTGTGTGTGTGTGTGTGTGTGTGTGTGTGTGTGTGTGTGTGTAGATATTGCATAATTATTACTTTTCTATTGTTATTATTATTTGTACATTCAATTCAATGATTCTATATCATTTTGGATAAGATAGATAATGATATATAAATATACACTTTGGAACAGATATATTATTGACTGGGAGGATTATTATTTTCATTATAAATCTATTTCAATATTGTATATCTGTTTCCCTTTATTCTCTTTGTGATTTCTTTCTTTTCTTTCTTCTAATTGTGCTCTTTTTTTACTCTAATTTTGTGTGTGTGATTCTTGTATTGTGTTGTATTTTTTTCTGATTTCTTTTTTTTTCCCATAAAAGTTATATTCAAAGAGGAAACCTAATCTGTTTAGCTCTTCATCATACGCACACTGCAACTACTCACTTTTTTTCTGTCGAATAGGTTTACATGTTTCATTGAATTGAAATAATGAATTAAATGAATCTGTTTGTTTTCGTTTTTTCTTTGAAAATCAGAAAACATTTTGTTGCTAGTTAATTGAGAAAGGGTAATGATATCATTAGGTTATTTAAAGTATACTAATTAGAGAGAATATTTTGAAACATAGTAATTTATTAAACAAAGATGGATAGTCGCGCGTTTCGTTCTATTTGGGACTCGTCAGCCACTAGCTACTATCCATCTTTGCTTATAATGTTTATAAATTAAGGCAATACGCACAGTATGCACATATGCCAATAAGATACTGATCAATTGCAGTCCTAAACATCAATGAGAAGATTCTAGTAAAACAATACCAAGTGAATAGTAATTTACTGCTTAAAACTAGGATATTTAAACGAATGGGTTATGTGTTCAATGAAAGCAACAACAACAAAACAGTTGGGAAATTTGTTTACTTAGATGAGTTAATTTTTATTTCATGTTAAACTGTCTCTGTAGAAATGTACCATAAATGTATCATTATCGAAGAAAATGTACAACTGGTATAACCATAGAATTTTCAACCTACGTTGTTTAAACTATCATGTTTATCGAAGAACGTTAAGAGTCAAGACTCTAGACAATTCGACACGTTCACAAAAAGCAGCTGTTATAACTACAAGAGTATTTCTTAGGATTTACTTCAAATTCATTCGTTGAGATTTTAAAGATGCATTCTCCTCTTTAATGACTCACATCAACTCGACGCCCAAATACTGTGAAACTATTTGATCAAATTTAGACATAATTATATCAGTTCGTTTTAATAAATGATGTTATAGAGTTGGAAAAGGTGCAGAATATTGATTACATTATTCAATGTATTATTTTATATGAGTAGGATAATATAACTTGTAAATTCTTAAAATATTTTGATTTCAATACAGTGGTCAGTCTTCATGAAAACTAACCTACTATGTCTACTTCTATTCCAGAATTCAATGACTTACTTATTCTTAGTGAACTTAATTAGTTGGAATATATTTTATGACCTGAGTCAAAGTAGAGGGCAACTGACTCGGGTCTGTGTCAGGTTGTTGAACGTAAACGCTAAGAAACCTCCAGGTAATATATATATATATCCAAAACTGATATCTCCATCTCTAAAATTCAAACTAGTTAGGTAGTCCTTGTAAAAATTGACAACAAGCGACTTACTCTAACCATTAAGCAAATTACGAATTCACTTAGTCTAATAACCACGTTCCATATTTGGTCTGTAAAGTTCAATCATTACTAAGATCTGGATAACATGACAAAGGTTGCTATTTTCAATGATCCCGATTATGTATTTTTGTTAGCATTCATCAGGAAAGTGTAAATTCGACTTCAAGAAACACTTATGGGACCTAGTATTACAGTTCCAGAGTGAACATCAACTCTAGGATGAAGGTATATTCAACTGATCAGTCCAAAAAATAGGACGAAACGCGCGTCAAACTGGATTCCATTGCTAGCCACAATCTTTCCAACCTTATAATGCTTGTGACTAAATGCAGTATCAAGGCAATCCGTACAAGATTCACATATGCCAATTGCAGTCCTAAACATCAATGGAACGATTTAAACAAGTAATACAAAAAATGAACTTATTACTATTTGTTTGTGAATATTGAACATCAACTAATAGACATTGTAATGTCTGTTCACTTAACCACAGATTACAATACAACTGTATATATGTATCCACTGTAAAGTAAATGGTGTTTTCACAACACATTAAAAAAAAACATTTGTGTAATATAAGCAATAAAAATGGCAATACATAATTCTTTCTATACAAAAGAAAAACAATAGTGTATACTATCGATGTTAATATATAACGATTAAATAACTTGTCATTTATCACCACTAGATAGTATTAAGATAGGGATTATATAAAAATGCCCATTGATAAATTCAAATAAGTTTAATAAAAGTTGTTGTTTTGTTTTAGTTAGAACATAATGTTCAGTGTAAGAAAAAATTTTGCAAAACAAACAGTTTCTAGGTGGTGTTTTATTTGTTTATATGATTATTATTACATTACTCCCTTCTTCTCATTTACATTATCATATTCCCAGTGTTGAAATGTCAATATCTTTAATAGATGGATGTTCGACAAGGTATTTTAAAACTAGTTCACGTGATTCATCTGTGAAAGAAAAAAGTATACGAATCATTAGATGATGTGGCTTGTGGAAATATTTTACTATTTGAAATGTGTTTATTTTACACATAATATTTGAGAAAAGTAAAACGTTCAGTAAATTGTACAATCAGAGAGTTTTGTAGTAATTTGGTAGTTGAGTTCATGAATCAATAGGATCTCAGCTCAGTGGTCTACGGGTTAGACGTTCGCGCTCGAGACTAATAGCTTCTGGGTTCGAATCCTGCGGGGTGAGATCTTGGATGCGCACTGCTGAGAAGTCCCATACTAGGACGAAACAGCCATCCAGGTTTTCCATGGTGGTCTGGATTCAATTGACTCAATGAATTCAACTAATATATTGTACAGTGTTCATTGAGTCATATGATATACATAAAGTAACTGCTCATTTAAGTAAAGTCCCTAGAACATATAAGTGGAATTTCAGTCATTTTGACTTGTTTTCACTACACATTCATTATAGGTATTATCGTGGCACACATTGTCTTCTGCATCTGTCAGGTGTGTCGTCTGAATAATACAAAAATTCTTATTGTATTCGCACCTAGTGGCTGAATATTATCACGGTCATAGCGTGACCAAAAAGAATATAATTTCGAGATTATTCAGTCTTAAGGACACTTAACAATTAGAAAAACATCTGTGTAGAACTTTCAGAGTTTCATATGCTCTAAATCGGAAGTTTATTTTAATTTATGAGCTTTCTGGAAAAGTTTCAACTATATTGCATTGCTTTCAAGGAGGTTTACCTTGATGAACGTTTCTAAAGTTACAGTTCGCTTACATGAGAATTACAAATAAGTCTCAATGTGACATATTTCATATAAATAAAAAAATTCACATGTCAGATTGAGTGCAAAAGTGGATTAAACTCCCTGGGGCATTGAAAACACTATCACTCATATGTATTGTTCCGAAAATTTCTTTTTACAACCATCTAACCCACCAGCTAGGGAAAGTGTCTGTGATTATTCTCTCAAACGATTCATATATTACATTTCGAAAATGAGAATCTATACATTAGATCATCTGCTATAAAGTAACATAGAATTTACCATCATCAAGATAGTTTTCTTCTAAAGATATCACTTTTCTCTTACAAACTTTATTTTCAATACAAGTAAATCGGTTACAATTTAAATTGTATCTAATAATTATTTGATTATTTTAATGGATTGAAACAAAAGTCAATTATTTATTGTATAGTAATTAACTTACATGGAGCAAGTTCAATATCCCATTCAATTGATTTTGTTTTACTTATTCTTATCGGTTTTGTTGGATCGTATTTTTCTGGATTTTTAATTGATGGTTCAATAAGATGAATCTTGTTTATATGAAAAATAAAAATTAGATAAACTAAACCAATCATTTAAGAAGCTTATTTTAAATAAACTCTTTATAGTGTTGTACTTAGTATAGGACTACTAGGCAAGTCTATCTATTTAAACACATAAACATTAGTACAAATGGGGACCGAAATAAATATACACCACGCGAAGTAGTAACCATGATATTTTTGTGTTGGCTGAGATACTTTCCGGATCCTCAAACCGAAGCCACTCTCTTTCACAAGAAAAAGGAGCAACGTTAGGAGATCTAGTCCCATAGTAGCCAGTGACCAACAATAGGTTCATACCCCAGTTGTTCCTTCAGACTCCTGGAGCATATGTACATCATGGGTTTGGAATCAGGGTTTTCCAACTTCCCTAGGTGGATTCTCCATACCCACTAACTCGGTTTAAGCACCTGACATTAGCATTTCTCCCTCTCAATTTTGTAACCAACAATGCTGCTGCAAGAACATTATGAATAGGATTTGGCTGGAAATGGCTGTATACGCGAGACCATGTGAGAGCATTTCGAGAGGGAGAACTTCTCACCCCAGTCCACCCCAAAGCAATCAGAGTAGGCCTTCATGGGATGAGCACTCCTACAACTTTAAACTCAAACGAACATAACACATTCCAATTACCCAGTCAGCATAATATGATTTAGACCAGTCAGTATAAATTCATAACTTAACACAATCTGAATCCAGTTTCACTTAAAATATAATGATCAGTTCCATATATCATGTTGCTGTTCAAATTCAGTCAATAATCATGATATCCTCTATAGTAAAGATTCCTGGAATCAATAATGAATTATTTAGTTCAATACAATTTAATTTATCCTCATACTTGCAACAGTAAATATATGAATTAAGGTAAAAATGAAAAGTTGAATAATAAAACTGCTTACCTTTAATTTATCCTCTGTACTGACTGGCAGTTGATCGATCACTAAAAGTTTCATACTTCTTGGATAACTATTTTCTACTGATATAACTTGTTTAAATACTATAGACATAGTTTTATTACCACGAAATGTTCCAGTTTTTTTATATTTATGTTTTGGCATATATGTGACACGTATACCAGGATCATAGCCTAATTCACATGTGAATTCTTCTTGGACAGCTGTAGCAGATAATTTTGTCTAAGAAATATAGAAAAAGTAATACACTGATTGTCAGTAATTTAATAATTAACTATTAGATAAAAAACACTAATATAGAGCTTATAACTGATTGATCACTGCGTAATGATCAGTGTTATGTGCGTCAAGTCTTTCTTAGTTCAGATCAAATTCTACTGACCACTAGTCCGGTTGACTTGACACTGCGTGCACTATGTTGAGATGAGATGGTGGTTGGAGGTAGTCAACAGGAAACCCTGGACCCTAGGTTTCGTGCTATTTGGCACTCGTCAGGAAGGTGTACCTGTAATCTTGATGAAACTGATTCTCCCTGACGGATTCGATCCCGTGTCACCCAACTTCACAGTCAGAGCGATCCGGGCCATGACTGAACTCATGTGGGACTGATCACTAACCGGTGACCTCAAGATTACAGGTACACCTTACTGACGAGTGCTAAATAGCACGAAACCTAGGTCCAGGGTTTCCTGTCAACTAACTTCAACCACCATCTCATCCCAATATTATAGAGTATCGTAACAATTATTTATGGTTTATCAGTATCTAATAATATTGATACGTTTCTGTCAATTATTGATATGATTCCCGATGTAAATCTGCTCACAATAATTTATATCATAAGTAAGAGTTTCTCATCAGAGGATCTGTGAATACACATTGCTAGGATGACCAATTACATGTCTATCTTCTTATGTGGAGCTATGTGCATAGATTCTGAATCGAAGCTTTATTTCATTCATATTGGATGACATCTCTTTAAATGGATTAATACAGGCTAAAGTAAATCTATTGAATTCTTTATTTAGGAACATAAAGTTGATTCAATACAGTCTCGAATCTGGCCAAGAAGTTAACCTTCTGAACCAACCTAACAGTGTGTTAAAGGTTTATCTGTCCATAATTTAAAACCAAAGTTATGTTTATGAAAGTAACATGTTGGACCTTTCTTTTTATCATACGATTTATTTATGCATATTTTTCTCTGATGTTTGTTCCTATTTTTTTTGTTATTATTATTAGATTTTTCTACTTAAAAATCACGATTATCAGTCATATTAGATACCTTTCATTTGAAATTATGTATTATTGACTATTATATTTATTATCAGAGAAAAGGTTTTGTGGATATTATAGTAATTTAGTAGTTGAATTCATGAATCAATTGAGGCTAGACCACCATGGCAAACCTGAAAGCAGTGGACGGCTATTTCGTTCTAGCATGGGACTCCCTAGTAGTGAGCATCCACGATGCCACACATGAGAATTGGGCCTACAACATTCAGTCTTGTGCGCGAACATTTGACCTCTAGACCACTGAGTCGATATCTGACCTTGATAATTTCTAACTTCAATCCATCCATGATTTTGTGCAACACTTCATTCATTGTCTGAAGTAGATAACTATCTCCACTTCATCACAGCTCAACTGAACTAGATATTAATTAATTATTTTGAAAAAAACTATATTTAAATCTATAACTTCACTGCGAAAGCACTTCATGGTAAATACCTTTTTCAGTGTCATTTTATTTTTGTTTTGTTTTAATGAGTTCAACAGATGAGTTTGTTTTTCGCTTACAATAATGAATATCTATGAATATGTGAACTAATACAAACACTACGTATTTATTCCGACAGATTCTGTTCAGTTATTTTTTGGTGCAGAAATTTATCTGACAAGAAGGTTAATAGTGGCATATATATATGAAAAAAAACTGAGAAATTTACTATTAATTTCACTCATGAGCACCTCCCAGTATAGTTAAGCAAAGGTGTAGTCAAAACAGTTAACAGCTCCATTTAAACCAATTTAATTCAGACGAGACATACAGCCGAAATGAAGCAATCTTACGCAATAATATATCGTGTTAATAGTAGTCTACCTAATTCCGTCAGATTGAGAATCATACAGACGGCTGAAGCAATTGCTATTCAGATCAAAAAGCCAGAGCTCTGCATCCAAAAGAAATATGTTCAACCACTCCTTGTACCCTGGCCAACTTGTTAATAATCAATTTTATAATATGGTGACATAATTTGAATAAATTTATTCCATTATTCAATCTTTTCTCTCTTGTAAAGCTGAGTGATACAGGATTGAATCCATCAGGCATCATTATTCCCCTCAAGATTACAGATAAACCTTGCTGATGAGTGCCTAATTATTTTCCACACTCTTCGTTTATTTTTGTTCACTTCCACCCTTTTCTTTTCTCAAATATTCGCTTCACGGTTCAATTGTCTTAACACCTCTTATTACGTAATCTCATAATCTTTCTATGAATGTTATTTCAGTGTCTATATTTTTCTAATCATTGACCTATTTCCGATTATGTAACATTGACTTAAGCATTTATTGTTCTTATCACAACTAGTATACCTGTCATCACACTACCAATTTACAATTTTTCACTTATTATGTTCATTTATGTAGTCTATTCCACTGTTATCATTGACTCGTAAACTACCTTGATTGGTTTAATAATTTTGTATATGCATATAAATATTACTGTATATTAATGTAAAACCTGATGAGGATTTAATTGAAAACAATCTTATTCGCTTATATATGTCGTTCTATAGTGCCAAATCGCACGAAACCTAGGGTCCAGGATTTTTTGTTGGCTACCTCTAACCACCATCTTTTCTCTCTTGTATTTCACATTAATTTTTATTATTCGTCATGTCAGACGAACCCCATTGACCAATGACAATGTTACACATTTCTAATAATTGCATATATATATATATATATAGCGAGAGAGAGAGAGAGAGAGAAAGAGGGGGGAGGGAGAGGATTATAAAATGGCACACTAAACATAATTACGTCATTGACATATAAATACAGTACATAAAAAGAACAAAACAAAGAAATGCATTAAACTACTCACTTTTCCAATAAAATTACTATCAATATATACACTTGCTTGACCTTCTAACAATGCATATTCTGATATATTATGCATTGTAACACGTAGAAAAGCTTTTGGTGTTTGTTTCGGTATTGTTATATATTGTAATTTTGGTTTAAATTCTAATGTACCAATAATAACACGATGTGGTTCACCATTACCTTTTATATATTTTGGCGGTTTAGGAATATCAAATGCAAGTGATGGAAAATAATTTTTATTTGTTATTTCTGTAAAATGATTTCTATTAGAGTATTTGCCCATATTTGATGAATAAGTATTTGAATATGATTTATGCATAAATAATTGTTTATTTCCATTGTCTTGTTTAAATATAACACTGTCTAATGATGATGAAGGACAATGAGTTAGTACATAATCTAAATCATTGTTTAGATGATTTTCATTTTTATTCTGTATAATAGAAATTATAAAGAAATAATCAAAATGTTATCTGTTTATAAGTCATTGCATTCAGAAGGAATTCTTCATATCATAAATTAGACATAACTTTGTGGTGAATTTTACTAATATTTCTTTAACACTGATATTTTCTATGTTTCAAGAGATTATGCGGTCACCTTTATCGGGTGAATATAGAGGACCTACCTAGGGGAGTTGGAAAACCTTGACTCTAAACCAATGGTGTTCATGAGATCCAGGATCCTGAGGGAACCAATTGTTAGTCTCTGGTTACCATGGGACTGCATCTCCTGACATCGCTTCACTGCCTTGTGGATCAGAACATTAGGTCAAAAGGTGTGGCCCCCTTAAGGAAAGCACCTGCTTCGGTCTGGGCACCTGGCCAGTATCACAACGCACCCACAAACCAAGTGACTTATGTGGTGCATATGTATTCGGTGCACCTTTGTACCAGTATATATGTGTTCAAATAAACAAAGTAAATAAATCGGCGAACAGGACGAAAACTCAGTGACACAATGACCGAATAAGCTAACAGATTTAGAAGAGGGAGAGTATATTCCACAAGTAACTAAAAGCACACAACTCAAGCGTATATATACAGCATAGAAATGTCCTTGGAAAACATCACAAAATGGTATATTAGAAGAGACAACGAACCAATGACATTTAAGTTCCTGCCAGGTGGGAAATACGATATGAAGGTGAAAATGGGCGCTTTTGGCGCGGAAACAAGAAATTCAAATTCCCGACATAAAATTACAAAAATAAATGTTCACTAAGTGAGTTTTGAGGATCTAACATCTGAATATTTCAAGTTTTACTATTCACAGACTTAAGAGTTTGGTCTAGGAAAACTTCCAGTAATTAATAAACGTACCCAAAAGAAATGTCGATATTTTCCGATTTGAAATTAATCTTATTCATAGAATAATAAATGTTAAATAACAATTTAAAAAAATTATAGAGAATAGGACAAAAATATCGACTTAGTTTGAAAATCCTCTGCCTGGAATTAAATCCAAATATAAGTCAGTATATAATGTCTTCTGTTCTTTATCGTTTTTCAGAAGAAAGCATAAACATTATACAATCCTTGTTATATATCTGATCTGAATTTTACTTTTCGGAAGTTAGGAGAAAGTATTATATCCCGATAAGAATAATAAATGGTAACTTTTGAGATCCATTCATGGACCAATACTAAACGTATATTTTTATCGTATAATTGTTAAATAACTAAACTATTCATATTCGTGTCCCTTTTATTATGAGCTTTATTTTGATCTATGAACTATTCTTGTACGATTTACCATTCTTGAATTATGCCCTGTCTATCAATTACTACCTCCCTCATTCACAGCCACATTTGGCTAATTCTTGTACAAAGTTGTTTTGAATTTTATGGTACGACTTGGTCTGTCTGGTTGGTATATAAACCCAGTATCTTTGAAACAAATGATTCATATCGCAGAGGCTGAGATTGGTGTTCTGGACTTAACTGGCTGGACTAAGCGGGAAGCGGGACCTATGAGTACTCTAGACTGCTCGTGCGGGTTTTTGGCGTCATTGTACCGATCGATAATTCACTGCTCTCTAATTGGCTGTATCCTTACGTTATACATTAACAGGGTACACAGGCCATAAGTTATAACAGAACGAAATTTTATTCATATATAAGTTCAGGTAACCAACAATTTTACTTACTATGTAATAACGTTGAGTTGATAATGATCTCTGATGATTTCCTCCATTTAAAAAACTACGTTCTAGTCTACTTCTTGAATCATTTATTGTCTGATTAATTGGATTGTATGTTTCATTTTTGCATTCATTGTAATGATATTGTTCAGTATCTATTTCTTTTAAGGGAAATAATGATGATATTGTTTGGTAATCATTTGAATCATCTGAATGAAATGAACGCGCTTTTGACTTTCTTATGAATTTATCAGTTTGTTGACGTCTACGAACAACACTAAATTGCATAGAAAAGTATAAAATCTTAATGAATATGTTTACATTCACAATGATTATTAATACTATATTCAATCAAATAGTTTTATTGTTAAAGTTATTCAAATTGATTAATATTAGATTGGAGGTAAAAAAAGAACCAAACATTTGTTTTATCCTAGTTTGGCACTCCTTAGAAAAGCAAACCCATAACCATTCACAAATATCAAACACAATAACGCTCAAGATATTGTAGGGAGCAGAGAAACAATAAACTACCTAATTAGAATTCAGTTATGCATATTTCTGATTTCATCCAGCTATCAATATAGCCTGATGATCATTGAATGACATCGATGATGGCATCCGTACTACCATAAGGAGAAATCTTATCAGTCATTACTCTTAGATGGAATTTAAGTAGTTCACTTCAGATTCTGTTACTAATAAGTATACAAATATTTTTTAATTCACTAGTTTTTGGGGATTAATTGTTTTCGATCATGACAAAGTACTATTCAGAGAAAAAAATTTTCGACGTTAATCAATCACAAAAACTTTAATTGAATTAACCTCCCAAAATCTCTCATCTAGAGTCGTTATTGTCTTAAGTGTTTTGTTTTCAGTAGTAAGTATATTAACAGTAACATAAGAAAGTTGCTTTTTACTTAAATCTTAGTTTTATTATCTGACAGGTGACCTACAGAACTGGTATTCCACAATATATGTTTAAAATAAATTTAACTGACCATATTTAGATAATCTGAAACATATTGGAAACACTAACATTGATCGATTGGAAGGGATTAGAGTTGAGTTCCAATCTAGAATAATGCATCAGTCATATGCTTTTAGCTAATACTTGTTATTATTAAAAAGAAATTGTTCTAAAGTAGTCGTATAAATCATTATTAAACAGTGTATATTCATATGAATGACTGATAAGATATTTTGATCTTACAACGTATAGTTTTTCTTAGCATACTTACGCTTACATCAAAGCTACATTATATTAAATAGACGTTAATTAATGAAACATTGGCCTCCAAATGCGAGTGTTAGCTCTCCCTCTCGAAATGATCTTACATGGCCACACGTATACAGCCACTCCATGGAAAGTCCTACCCACTGCCTTCTCTCGGCATTACTGTTGTTTGTGAAATTGAGGAGACGAAAAGCGAATGTCCGGAGATTAAGACACAAATGGTCTACCTAGAGGAGTTGGAAAACCCTGATTCCAAACCGATGGTGTACATAGGATCCAAGATCCTGAAGGAACAAATGTCGTAGGAACCAATCGTTGGTCTCTGGTTATCATGGGACTGTATCTTCTGACGTTGCTCCACTACCTTGTGAATTAGGCCTTTAGGTCGAAGGCTCCAGTTGTGGCCCCCTAAGAAAACCACCTCATTCGATCTGGGCACCTGGACAGTACCATAGCCCACACAAAAATCAAGTGACATGTGTGGTGCGTATGTATTCGGTGTAGCTTTGTACGAGTATTTATGTGTTCAAATAAATAATGCACCAAACCTACATAAAATTAAATAGGCGTTCACTAATTTAACGTGTAATTTAGGCAATGTCTTTATTGTTGAATACAGTTAATTGGCCAAATTGATTAATTGTTCTAGCAAGTTGTTTACTGATATTCATTTTAAGGTTGGCGAAATTATTCAATCTGAGAGGGCATGGTCAATTAAATTTAGGCACTCTGGGTCTTAAGCAGTCAATAGACAACTGTCATGAATTATTGTTTAATAAATATTAAAAATATAAGCTACTAACTGTCCATAGGTAAAGTGACCATTTCGGAACTAAAAGGTTCTATTTTCCATTCGTAGCAAGATTGTCTATTCTAGTTGATAATAATACGAAACAATTATTCAGTGCTGCATAGTTTGTAATGACCATCCAGATACAGTCAGTCCATAGTATAAACTATTCATAATTCATCCGAATCGCCTGTTTTCAGATAATACATTGATACAGCAATATTTGACAATTCGTGAAGTTAGTTCAAAGATTATAGGCAGAAATAGTTGGTGGCTAACAGAGGACGAAAAGCACATCTTGGATTCCACTGCTAGCCATCATTCATCTCTACTTATAGTGTTTGTGACTTGAGGTAATCCGCACAGGATATACATATGTCAATAAGAGATTAATCAATTGTGATCTTAAACATTCATGGGAATATTCAAACAACCACTACAAATATATTTTATCGAAAATATTACATTCAAATTACTTAAACTTAACATCACCATCATCATCATCATCCTATAATTAGTTTTTTTTGACGATCTTATCATTATACAACTATCAAAACTCAAACTAAACTTTAATGTTTGCTATTTTACATTATCAGATCTAAACTTGAGCAGTTTATAAGTGTAACACCATGGCAGTGACTTGTTTTTTTGATCACTTCTGATTACTTTGTCTTTAATGAAAGCTTTCTTATTATTCTACTATCACTTTCTTGTTTTCTCTTAACTTTTATATCTACTTTGTGACAAAGTATAAATGAAAGTGATATATGGTGTAACATTATTGTTAGTGAAGAAGTAAAGATAATTGGAAATGATAATAATAATAATTGGGAAAAACTAAAAATTAAGGCAAACAATAGAATCTTTTGACATTTGAAGGTCTTATTCTGGTGGAGTTTTGTTCTCTGAACTGGATGGTTTAGTCATGAAGCTTTCATCGTTCTTCTGAACGATATCATCAGCACAAACTTCAGGTAGAAGTGAAGTGTTCGAATTTGACCTGGTCAATCAACAATTAACAAACACATTAAAATCGATTCAATTTATCAACCAATCAGAAAAATTATGTACAAACATAGGAACATAGGAGCCACGAATCTCCACCATCTCAAGGTCTTATTCTCCATCATCTGTTAGATCATAGATGAATATTATTGGGAAATTTCAAATAATATCCATAGAGTTATGCCCATTATTTCCAATGTTATCTTTAGCTAAAGTAAGACAATGATGAAAATGAACTGATTTCCACGATGAAAATCACAAATAGCTGGTTGAAAGATAGAAAAAATGGATTGTTCAATCAACTATCATTGAATTGAGGGTAAAAACGCTAGTGGGATATTTAATTTAAATAAATATTTATTCGTACATAAAACTGTCTTTTTATCACTGGCTACGTATATTGGAATGTGGTTATTAGAAGTTGAGCTGTATCATGGAATGATATCTAAACTAAAAGGCTTTAGAAAACTTTTAATCTGATTGGAGACTAATTAACTGTACTCATTCATAAGTACAAACAGAACTCATAAACAAAAATACAAGGGAAACCTCACGGAAATCATAACAGTAATGAGATAATAAATCATGATTAAATATTCCAGATTTTTAATTCTAATCAATTTTTGTAATGTTATGATACTTAACTACTACCATTGGATATTTCTTGACGAACCTTCTTCTCAGATTATATGGAACCTCGACAAAATCAAAGCATTTAATAATAATAATAATAATAGGTTTCTAAGTTATGACTTCAGTCTAGATAAATGTGCTCTGTTTTTAATAAAAATTCATGATTTATGTGATCATTTAGGCCAGAAATGTTACATTAACACAGTGATACACTTCCATGAAGATCAACTCATATCAGAAGTATGGTAAATATAGACTATTTTGAATTAGAATTAAGCTTATTAAAGAAAGTGAAGTTCCTAAATTCGATACTATAATTCAAGTTTTATGATATCGATATTTGATAGGGAGGAACATTATATGTTAAAAGTTAGAGTATATAGAAAACCTTTAATATTTTCATTACTTAAAAAAGAAAGAAACTTTGAGTATCAGAAAGGGTTTTGTGGGGATTGTAGTAAATTCAATAGTTGAAATATATTCCACAAGCAGTCAGAAGCACGAGCAACCACGACAGGCACAAATCAAACGTATAAGTACAGCATATAATTGTCCTTGGGAAGCGTTAAAAAAGCATACTAAACGATACAACGAACCAATAGCATTTAAGATCCTTCCAAGTGGGAAATATGACATGAAAGTGAAAATGGGAGCTTTTGGTGCGATAACAAGGTATTTATCAAGTGAGTTCTGGGGATCTAACATCCCCAACACTTTGTAAAAAGGATGAACTGTTTAAAAGATTCAGCGTAAACTAGATTGATAATTAGGAAAATCTTCACCATTGATGACAATTAAGTTCTTTTTAACTAATAAAATTCCACTTAAGCTATGATCAAAATCTAACTTGTAAACATAAGTAATATTGAAAAATCGGTTCAACACGCCTATGCATTAACATATAATCATTAATTTTCAATATGCACAACATATTCATAAAACTGTGGTGTGTACTATTGATATCGTTAGATACAAGTAGTACGTATCATCAATCGAAAGTGAAATGCTTGGTAGTGGAAAGATAAGAATATTGAAGAAAATAGGGCGAGAACAGAGAATAATTGCTGTGGAAACGAAAGAACAATGAAGTCTGATACGATTGATTGACATTTTATAGAAAGAACAACCAAGTTTGAGACAACTGATTGACAATTTGCAAATGAAGTGTTTACATGGTTCTCAGATTTTACTAAAATGTTCTGTAATATATACCTGAGATACGTTAGTTTTAATGTTGATAAATGAAAAATTCAAATAAACAAAAGGTTATAATAGTAAACTAACTTTTCACTGTTTTTAAATGATAGTTGCTCTAATTTCAATTGCGGTACATCTTTGAAATGATCTTGTTCAGCGGTTGATAAAGTTAATTTACCAAGTTCCCAATCTTCACCAGTATTCTGACGTATAGTACCATAGTAGATAATCTAAAAATTGAATAAATAAAATATATCAGAAGGGATTTGTGGATATTATAGTAATTTTCATAGTTGAGATCGTGAGTCAACTGAGGCTAGACCACCATGGAAAACCTGGAAGCACTGGAAAACAAATTATCTTCAATAAGAGTTTTTGTCAATACACCAAAACGGTATAGCTTTAACATACATTTTATCTGAGCTTATAATTAATAAGTGAAATACTCAAAAATTAAAAAAGAAACTTATACTTTTGTAACCTTTTAATAGATTTTAATCCAAGTTACCTATAGTTTTCAAAATTTATCTACTGAATATATCCATTTAAACAAAACTGAATAACACATTTATGTTATCTTAACTGTAAACTGTTTATTTTTCTAGATGTGAACTTAGTAAACCACTAGTTATGTAATGATTACGAGTTTTAAAAGAAAATATCTAATTTTACTTCTCATAAATCCGCTAATAGAACAATGATAACATAATAAAATGCATCAAGTTTTTGATAGAGATCATGAACCAATTGATGTTAGACCATCACAATTGAAAACCTGGAAGCACCGGACGGCCGTCTCGTCCTATTGTGGGGCTCCTCAGCAGTGCGCACCCGCGATCCCGCCTGCGGGACTCGAACCCAGGGCCTTCGGTCTCGCGCGCGAACGCCTAACCAACTGGACCACTGAGCCGGCATTCAGTGGTGATAATGTCTAACATCAACCAATCCACGAAATCGCGCGACCAACTTCCATTGTATTGAGGTAGATACCTGTCTCTACCCAACATGGATTAGCTCCACTGATCTCAATCAAAAACGTAATAATCTCCACAAACCCCATACTAGCATCAAGTTTTGCTTGCTATCATGAATGGATTAATGTTAGACCACCATTGAAAACCTAGAAGAACTGAACGATCGTTTCATCCTTGTATGGGACTGGTGAGCGATTCGTTTACACGATCCGGTACCAAGGGGATTCGAACCCAGAACCTTGGGCCTTGCACGTAAACGACACACCTGTCGACTGGAACTCAACCGTTTCTGTTATGAGACAACTGAAAGTTGCGCAATATCGTAGATTGGTTGATGCTAAACATTAACATTGCTGGATGCCGGTTCAGTGGTCTAGAGTTTAAGCGTTTTCGCACGAGACCGAAGATCTCGGGTTTGATTATCTTTGGTACAGAAGCATGGATGCGCACTGCTCACGAGTCCAGTTCTTCTAGGTTTTCAATGGTGGTTTAACACTGACCCACTTATAATATCAATCTAAACTCAACAATCTCCAAAACCCGATAGCGAATCAGGTTTTATCAAAATTTGATCAGATTTCGAGTGGTCCAGGACGCACGTTTCGTCCTATTTGGGACTCGCCAGCTCGATGTACCTGCATCTGAGTTAATGTTCACTCTGGGACTCGAACCTAGCACCGTTCGCTTCAAACGCCATCGTGTTATTCATTTACCTACTGAGTCCTGATAACCACTTGCTTGTGGAATGGGGTGAATTTAAATTCACTCGGTATTGTTTTTATTTGTATCTTCAGATTGTTATCTAGGACTGCAAGTGATCAGTCTCTTATTGGTATATGTGCATATTCAAAATAAACAGATTAAATGACTTCTAATAGGAGAAACTAAAGATTTTTTGTGTTGTTTGCTCATTCTCTAGGGAAAAATTTCTTCATATTGTTGTTGTTATTTTTTTTTCTACATGATTTATTGTCGAAGTAATTATTAAAGAAACTTCGTTTATCATTGAATAAACTAGAAGTGAGTGTGTTGTCTCTTGCGTTTTCTCTATTGAATTCTTGTTTGTTTGTTTGTTTTTATTAGTCACCTAAACATTACTGGTTGTCTGATGTGTTCTATTTTATAAGACGGTATAAATTTTGAATGTTTACTGACTAACTTTTAATAACATTTTGTACCTCCCCCCCCCACATACAAACACCGTTTTTTTAAATATTCTTATTCATTCCTCTTCTTTTACAATTACTTCAATTGACAGTAAGACAACTTTATTGATCATTCATATCATCAACATCATTAATGTAATTTATTATTATCTTCGAATGAACCCTATTTTGTTCTAGCTTCTTTTTATTAGTTTAGTAAATTTTTCAAATCTAATATTCCCGAGGGGAGTAAAATGTTTTTTGAGTTGATTTTTTTTTCGAAGACAATTCAGTGTAAAGTATACAACAACAAAAAATGTTCACCTTAAGGCAAACAAACCGTAACTCATTTTTATAGATGGTATTTTGTCTATTTTTAAGCTCATTCTTGCATACATCTTCATTCATATTATTAAAGTATCTTCCATTGTATTCTTGCATTCGAAATGATCAAATGACTCATATTACCTACCTATCCACCGACCTACCTGTCTATGTATCCTAAATATTTCTTTGAAGGAATTTATCCATTTTTATTTGATTATCAAATGTTTTTCACCTTAACACTTGAACACTTGAATATTTAATGGTTCAATATTTTATAATTCACCGTAATTAAATTGATGAAAATGATTGTCTGACCTTAGTGAAACTACTCAATATTAATAATAAATATTGAATAAGTAATAGAAATCTATTCTAAATTGCCTTAAATGTTTTATCACTAAAAGATTGTGATTCAAGTATTTTTTTTTTTTGGTTGAATATGACTTTAAGTATTAGTCATTGATGAGAATTAGTTCTATTGTGAAATTTATTATTATGTCTTGTCAGTATGAGGTTGTGGAGATTATTAAGTTTTTGATTGAATCGATGAATGTTAAGCTACTACTAAAGACCTGGAAGAACTGGATGGTCGTTTCGTCCTATGATAAGACTCCCTATCAATGCGCATCTATGATTACGCTCGAGGGATTCAAACCCAGGACCTTCGGTCTCGTGCATGAACGTGTGTGTGTGTGTCTGAATCCCAAGAATTTTGGGAAAAAAAAATAAATTCAAGAAATTGTATTAATTGATTTTAAAAGATTGTGCAATAAATTTGACTTAATTTCGTAACACACACATTTTGAACAATTACAGATTTCATGGAATTAATTTATAGTAAATTATCTCTTTGTAATTTATATCACTAACTGACTCTACCTACACAATCACTTAAAACTAGAAAGAACTGAAAATGTGATTTATTCTAATTCAGAACTATTCAATAGTACATACTCACTGTCTAATTAAGTATCTAACTTAAGAGCATCAGTTTTCTCAAGAAGTTAGGCATCTTTCAACTAATGAAGTATCATTCACTAGTTCATGTTTTTAACCTTAATTCATATAAGTTTATTGAATAATTCATGTTAGGTTGTTTCGAAAGAATTAATGGGATATTCCTATTTTTTGATATTAACAAAAATTTATCCATGAATTTGAATTGTGTAATGACTAAGTTAAATGATACTCTCTATTAAATGATGAAAAGTTTATGGTGCCCACCTCCTCACCCCTTAAAGAAAACTTTAATTCCGAACTGGACTAATAAAAAAAAACAACTGAATATTTACAATCTGATTGAAAGATCTGTCATAAATGGAAGACGAGAATAATTTATTCAACTTAGTTCTGTATTTAACGTACTTGATTACACTGTAACAGATCTACTTTCATTACGTTGCTAACCCTTACATTTGTGACTAAATCATTAATATAATTTGTGTTTAAGTCTACTGATAAGTAGCTGGTTAAACTGTCCGCTTCTATTTTCGATTCCTTGATCTGAAACTTGTGTTATTGTTGATTGTTGTCTATTGCTTTCCTTGAGTGCATTATATGCTCTTGTAAGATTGTTCGCTCTTTTACATTTATCCTCACTCAAATTACTCTGCTTATTCCCTTAGTACACAAATTACCCTCTGGATAGACTTGAACCTCTGTACATATCGTTTTGAGAAAAATATACAGATTTCTGAAACCGATTTACATTAAAACGAGATTTTCTTTCTTTTTATAAGTTTATATAAGATGAGAATTATACTATTCACGAGATTGATATTATTAGTTAAAAAATATTTAGAGGATACACCAAAATTTATTAAGTTTTAAAACAGATTTTTTGAGTTACTAGTCCTCTGAGCTGGATGATTCAGTAGTGAAGCTTTCTGGATTTTGTGTCCGAGGAAGGTTAAATTATGAGAAACTTCTGGGAACTATTTATTGACTGTTATTATATATATATATACTTATTATGTAACTATTAGGTAAATGGAGTATATTTATTTACACTTCCCTTATTATGAGTTTCCATTTGACCTATTCATTACTATTATACAATTTCCTATTCTTAGGTTATTCCCAATTTTTTAGTTACAGTCTCTCACACTCACAGCCAATCTTGGCTTGATCTTGTATAATTGTTATTTTCTATTTTATGGTATGATGAGTTCTAATTTGTTTGTATATAAACCAAGTATGTTTGAAATACAGGATTCATATAGCGGTGGCTGATATAGCTGTTCTGGACTAACCATCTGGATTAGACGAGAAGCTGCTATTTTGGAGTTCCAATAAGAAGTCAGAGTTGACTCTAGGCTGCTCGTACTGCTTAAAGCGTCATTGGTTTGGCACAGTGCCAAGCTCGTATAAGTCGATGTTCTGATTGGAGATTTAGTCACGTGAAATTTAACGTGGTTTAGAACACAAAACTAGACCGGTGTGGTAGAATTTGAGTGAAACTAATTATTTACAATTATAAATTCTAGGGGGGGGGACTTCAGAAATCTCAAACCATAATGTGATGATTAAAATTAATCAATGCTATTCAGAAACATTACACACGTAAATTTCAATAAAATCGATAACATTCAAATCTCATAATTATGCATAGTTGAAGGATAAGTCTACGAAATATCACTATGTAAAGACTGAAAGTTTAACAGTTGAATTCACGAGTTGATACAAGCTAGACAATCATTAAAAACCTAGAAGCATTGGATAGTCAGTTCGTCCCAGTATGGGATAATCTACAAAAATAAATAATCAAATTTATTCGAAAATATTTAAAAAAACATTACTGAAGTAAAAATTCACGAAAAATAGTAAGATTAAATTACTTTTAACGTAGCTGTTGAACTTGAAAGTCTTATATCATAACTAGGAGTCCATGAAACATGATCTACTGTATACGTAATTTCTAAATCTGGATTCAACGATGAATGTGCTTCTAAAAGTACATGGAGTTCTCTGATAAATATTAAAAAGAAATAATAACCAAGGAAAACAGCATAAAGATCACATCATAAATGGGATAAATATATTCACATTCATGTAATAAAGAAGATATATTCCAAATAAAAAAGTACGACAGAATTATTTACAAAGCATTATTAAGTATGACAATATTATTATTAATCGGTTTATTCAATATTCTTTTTTTAGTACAATATAGAATTCTCAGCACAAAGTGTCTCAACAAGTTTTCCGTTTCTTATTTCTTGATCGAATCTGACGATAAATATTGAGTGATCACTGTGATGTGAGCTACTAATGTCTATAGGTATAAGTAGTATGTATCATCAATAGAAAGCGAAATACTTGGAGATAGAATATCAAAAAGATTGAAGAAAAGGAAATGAAAACTGATAATGATTGTTGTGAAAATGAAGAAACAATAAATTCTGAGACGATTGAATGAAATTTTGCATATTAAGTATTTATTATATGATACTCAAATTTTATTAAGATATACTGTAATGTTGTATTGAAATACATTTGATTGTCCCCAATTGTATTCTCGTTCACTACAATCACCATTCATATGTTGACAATTCACGAATCAACATCGCAACAATGTTCATTCTTTTCAATATATATTGCCAGCAACTACAATGAGTCTGATTGTACTTTTTGTAAGTTGTACAGTGAAAGGTCGTACAGTTTTCATAAATTCACCTGAATAGGTCATGTGCTTAATAGACATAATGATATATTAAGACAAAAAAAAAAACAGATAACTTGTTGAAATATCTAGATGGTAGGATCAGATAGCTCAGATATTTAAGCAGCCCGCTACTTAAAATAGATAAGACGTTTTTCAATATAAACTGAACAATCTTTATTGATTTCACAAAAATGTGTTTACATAAATTTTATACTGCCTTCACCTCTCTCATTGAATAAAATTAACGAACAGCGATGTTAAAGTGAATGTTGTAAACTTGAATTAAAAGTTTGTTTCATCCTTCCCTAGTTTCATCAAAATCGGCAATATTAATTATATACATAGTTCCTGGACAAAAGTACATGTGTATTGATCGAAATAACTTAAAGTACAATACTTAATATTTACCAGTTAAAATATAAAATCCAATCTTTTCTTCAACAATCTATTATTTTCAGGAAGGGATTTTGTGGATATTATAGTAATTTAGTAATTAAGTTCATGAGTCAATTGAAGGTAGACCACCATGTAAAACCTCAGCAGTGTGCATCCACAATCCCACACCATGAGATTCGAACCCAACACCAAACAGTCTCAAGCGCGAACGCTTAACTTCTTGACCACTGAACCAGCCGGTATCCAACGGTGTTAATATCTAACTTTAACTGATTCACAAAATTTATTATTTATAATCATTAACTCACTTAGAAACTAAATGATTTCGACATAATTCAATTTCATCAAGTTGTTCAGTTAATTGATTCATTGTTATCCTACATTGTTCCAATTCTTCACTAACATTGATAGTATCTTCATCTAATTGTTGTGATTGTACTGTGTAAAGTGTGAAAAAATTACGCATCGCTTCCACTTGATTAAGTTGTAATATTTCATTTTGAATTATCAGAGTAGAATTAGACTAAAATATAACAAATTACAAAAGAATAAGACAAACAATAATTTTCAATATTCAATGATTATTCAATAGTCATCATCAGGGAGAAAAAATTATTAAATAATTTATTTGTTACTAATTATGGAAGCTTCATTATTTTTAAAGAAACTTTATAATTTAGATTTTGGAAGTAAATATATTGAATATAAGTTGTGAAACTTTCATCAGAAATCAAAAATGTTTATTACTAAGCAAAGATGAATAGTGGTTGGCAGTGAGATCCAGGACGCTCGTCTCGTCCTCTTTGGGACTCGTCAGCTGGATATACGTGCATCTCAGAGTTGATATTCACTCTGGAACTCGAACCCAGCACCGTTCACTTCAAACGCCCTCGTGCTATTCATTTACCTACTGAGTCCTGATAGTCACTTACTTGTGGAATGGGGTGAATTTAAATTCACTCGGTATTGTTTTTATTTGTATCTTCAGATTGTTATCTAGGACTGCAATTGATCAGTCTCTTGTTATCATATGTGCATCCTATGCGGATTGCCTCGATATTGCCTTGATTTACAAGCATTATAAGCAAAGATGGATAGAGGCTAGCAGCGGAATTCAGGAAGCGCGTTTCTTTCCATTTACGCACAGTATGCGTACATGCCAATAAGAGACTGTTCAATTACTATCCTAAACATCAATCGGAAGATTCAAGTAAAATAATACGAAGTGAATTAATATTTATTACTGTTTAGAATCTTAAAATCGTTTTTCAAGAAAGATTGTTAATAGCCAGAAAACACAAACTGTTTGGTCTTATTTAGCAACTCCATAGCATTTTTCTACCTCAGATTTTGTTCATGAGTAAAATTAAGATTTTAATAATAATACAACTAATAAATATAATAATAATAATAATGACGATGATGATACGTTCCGTTCTTCACCCTGATTAAATTCGGGTATTTTATTGTCTATGAAAAACTGTCAAAATTTAAATAAGTTAATACATTATTTCTAAACCCACAAATATCAAATGAAAATCAAAGCATAATTAGCTACTGAATTATTTTCAGTGTATGTGAAAATATTACGTAAGGTATTATAATCAGCATAGTTATTGTCAAATATTAAGAAAACAATAAACAATCGAAGGTGGAAATAAGCATAACTGAATGTTCTCAAAGTGGTTTAAAGATGATACACTCATAAAGTCTTGTAGGGTTCTGTATTACGACTTAACAACTATTTAATATTCCATAATGTTCATTTGTTATTTATCTAAACTAAATCCCCAGTGTAAAACATCATTAAATTGAATAATTGCCGCAAAACTATTTCTAAAACTATATATATCAATGAGCTATATTTATTTTTAAAAACGAAGGAATGAAATAAAACAATCACTGGATGGCGCCAAAAATTCGAATTTAAAAATCCTAATTCAAGCCTTAAAACACAATATTCATGCATGGACATGAAAAAAAAAACACGTTCATTAAGTGGTAATCAGAATTAGTTTCAGTTTTCCAGTTTCTCATTAATTTAGCTTCAAATTATAGATATCCATCTTCAATGACGATCCATATACTGAAAACTCATGTTGATTAAATGATTGTTTTCAATTATCAGATTTTAAGCTCTGATGAGGAGAAAAAAGAAAAAAAATTCATATTCATTCGTTTTCATTAAGAATCAGATAACTAAATTTTAAGGATGTTGTCATGGAATAATCAGTAAATATTAGAAGAGTTTAGATAAGAAAGAGATAATCACTAAGATTGATTGATTAAAATTTAAAGTGAAATGAAAGTATCAACTTAATTGCAATGCAAATAGTGATCCATTGAATTTTAAATTGAAGGAAAACTCTTCAGAAGAATAATCAAAATCCATTTAAAAAGAACCATCTATTCCATTAGTCTTCATATTTTTTTGAACAATAAGAAAATTTTAATAGTTGAGATTATGAGTCCATTGAAGCTAGACCATCATGAAAAACCTGGAAGCACTAGAAAGCCGTTCTATCCTGTTGTGGGACTCTTCAGCAGTGTGCATTCACGATCCCATCTGGAGTGATTCGAGCCCAGGACCTATAGGTCTCGTTCACGAACGCTTAACCTCTAGAACACTGAGCCAGCCGGTATCCAGTGGTGTTAATGTCTAACTTCAACTAACCCAAGAAATTGAGCAACACATCCACCATTGTCTTCAATGAGTGCTTCCAGGTTTTTCTTTGTGGTCTAGCTTCAATTGATGCGTGATCTCAACTACTAAAATTGTTATAGTATCCACAAAAACCCCTTCTGATATTATTAAGAAAATTAGTTAACAATAAATGAAAGATTTGATAACATATTGAATCAAAAAGTACACTTAGAACCTTTTATTGGCTTCTAAATATTTAAGTATTGTACTGTGTATAATTTACTTGTGAACAGTTTTCAAAGCTACCTTATAAAAGCAGATTAATTACTTAATACAACTTTCTTACAATCTACCTCATTCACTTGGATTATTTAGGTACTGTAGAGTGTTTTTTTTCCTTTAAAATATAAAAGAAATCGTTTAACAACTTAGTTGTATCGATGTACGATTAAGGTATTTAAATACATTTGAAGTATTAATATATTTATGTGGTCCATTATCTGACTCCAATTAGATCGTATGAATCGTTGCTGTCGAAATATATTTATTTTCAATCCTCGTATATAATTATCGAATTAGATCACATTGGTGAATAACGGAATTAAATAAATCAAATATGAGGATGAATTTTCGAATACATCTATTTTGTACACTCATTGATCTAGGGAGGCAATCAGAGGAATGAGGTGAAGAGAAGAGAGAGAAGCGTAATGACGATCAGTGGAGAAGGTGTGTGAGCCAACTCGATTTAATCAAAGCGTTAATCGATATTTATAGTCGAACAAAAATGATACAAACGTGATGAATATAATAAGAAGTGCACACACGCTCATACGAAAACAGTCAAGGTTGATAAGTGAATAATTAACATGGTTGAAACTTGACTCAAGAAGAATGGATAAATTGACCTATCCAGAAGCTAGAATAATTTATATGGGCTTAATATAGCAACCGACACTACAAATTCAGAGCTTTCAGATGATAAACTACATTCAAAGAAACATGTACAAGCTATAACTTTTTAAACCACTATTTCAACAGTCTTATTGAGTCAACACAATAATGTTGTTGTGAGATATTTTTATAATACATTAACTTCATAAATAGACATGGATGGTAGCTAGCAATGAAATTCAGGACGCGTGTTTCGTCCGATTTGGGACCCGTCAGCTGGATGTACCTGCACAGTATGTACATATGCGAATAAGAAACTGATCAATTGTAGTCCTAAGCATCAATGGGAAGAATCAAGTAAACAATACCACGCGAATTTTATATTATTTAATTGCTCTTCAAACAAATAATAAAAATACTTTCGTTGCCTAATTAACTTTATATCTTCTGAGTTTATATCGTTCTACAATATTCTACACTATTCATTACTTATCTAAATATTTAGGTCTAGGAAATTTTTTATAGGAATGAATAATCTCTTTGAGCAAAGATGGATAATGGCTAGCAGTAGAATCCAGGATGCGCATTCTGACCTATGTGGGACTCGTCAGCTGGATGTACCAGCATCTCAGAGTTAATGATTACTCCGGGGCTCGAACCCAGTACGGTTCGCTCCAAACGCCATCGCGTTATCCACTTAGGTAGTAAGTCCTGATAGCCACCTGCTTGTTTGTCAGTTTTTTTCAAATTAACTGACATAAGATATTAAATTGTTTCGTTCTGTTGTTTGGGTCTTTTCAACTCCATATCGCCTAGAAATCTTGATTGTTTTACACTAATCACTATCAGTTTGAATCACTTAATTGGTATCTATTGCGTAAATTTTCAACGTTAATCGATCTTTGTTCAAAGTGCTTTGTGAGTTATAATCTGTCTCTATTTGTGATATTGACATATTGATACTTTAAGATTTATTTACTTATTTAAACACATAAACAGTGGCAGGAGGAGGAACCAAATGGATATGCGTCACATAAATCATTCGATTTGTGTGAGGGCTGTGATACTCCCTGGGTGCCCAAACCGAAGGAGGTAGTTTACTTATGGAGCCACACCCGAAGCCTTCAACCTAAAGGTTTAATCCACAAGGCACTAGAGCAACGTTAGGAGATGCAGTCTCATGGTAGCTGGTGAGCAGCGATTGGTTCACACGCCATTTTTTCTGCTCAGAATCCTATAGCCCATGCACACCATTGGTTTGGAATCAAGGCCTCCCAACCCCCTGAAATGGATCCTCCATATCCACCAACCTGGTTAAAGAGCCAGAAATTCACTTTTCGTCCTCTCAGTTTCGTAAACAACAGTAATGATGCGAGAAGGCAGTGAGTAGGACTTCCCTGTTAGTGTTTATATGCACGTGGCCATGTGAGAGCATTTGCAAAGGGAGAGCTGACTCTCCCTACTCTCGGCTGTACCAGAGCATTTGAGAGCGAAACCCATGTTTAATTTAGTCACTTATCATCATTGATAATTGTCATTTCCTATGACTACTTTTTGGGAAATACATATATTTTGCTGATACTTTGATCCAGAAAAATTAAGTTCCTTTAACAAATTAATCATACAGATAATAATATATGATAAAACAAAAATGATGAAATAAATGACTCTTCAATTCATTAGATCTAGTAATAAGACAAAAAGTTATTTAACAAAATATATTATTCGTGGATTACTTACACAATAAACTCAATATTCTAATGAGTAGATCTTCTTTGTTCATTAACATAGACACGGATATACAATACATCAATACGACCTAGAATGTGTACATATTAACTAATATAAACTGTATCTTCTTGATTCTACTTATAATCATCATCATTATAATAATATAACTCGTAATATTAGTTTACTTGCTAATAATTTAAAAAAAGACTATTACAATGCAACAACTTACATTTTTCTCTTTGACATTACAATCTTTAATCATATTTTTCATTCGTGTTAATGAACGTGTACGATGTGATTTTATTGTGTTGTTTGATTTGTTTTGATGGAATTGACGAATTTTCTGCTGTTGTTGTTGGTGGTGACGTCTTGACATTGGAAAATCGCCATTATTATTATTATTATTACTGGGCAACTTTATTCCATTTATAGTATTTATAGTAGTCGTATTATTATTATAAGTCGAATAATCATTGAAATAATTAAGATAATCTAGTTTATGAATAGGATCATTATCATAATCATTATGATTATTATAATTATTAATATCATAATCTTTTATTTCATTATTTACATTCCATAATAAATTATTTGAGAAAGTCTCCAGAACATTCTGTTGTTTAAATAATCTTTGATAACGATTAATTAAATAATGATAACGTCGTTTCTCTTTACGTAATTGTATTAATAAACAATTATAACGTTCAAATAATTTATTATCATCTTCATTTAATTGATTAATATGAAATCGTACATCTTGTATATAAGCTAATTGTGATCTTTCATCCAGTGGTAAAGCTGTAGAAGGTGGCGATGATGTTTTTGTTGTTGTTGCTGGTGGTGGTGGTGTTGATGGTGTTGCTGATTCACTTAAACAAATATTATTTGCATGTTCAATTGTTTTATATTCACTTCTGTGATTGTTGATTTCAACACTTAAAAATAAATAAGAATGATAACAATTCAAAATGGGTTACTTTTATTACATTTATTAAAGAACCATGATTTAAAATATATTTGAATAATGAATGGGAACAGAATGAAATCTGATAGAAGAAAGGAAAAATATTGATTGTTTTGTCAGAAATGGTTCTGTTCATAAATTCTTTTTTCAGTATGTGGTTGTGGAGATTATCAAGTTTTTGATTGAGATCATGAACAGATTGATGTAAAATCATCATTGAAAACCTGGAAGCACTGGATGGCCATTTCATCCTATTGTGGGACCCCGCAACAGTGCGCATCCACGATCTCACTTGCGGGATTAGAACCCAGGGCTCTCAGCCTTGCGCACGGACGCTTAACCTTTAGACCACTGAGCCAGCTGACATCCAGCGGTGTTAATGTGTAACCCCAACCAAACCAGTGGAGCTAATCCGTGTCCGATAGAGACACGTATCTACCTCAGTACAATGGAAGACAGTCACGCAATTCCGTGGGTTGGTTAAGCGTTCGCGCGCAAGACTGAAGGCCCTGCGTTTGAATCCCACAGGGCGGGATCGTGATTGCGCACAGCTGAGGATTCCCACAATAGGATGAAACGGCTGTCCAGTGCTTCCAGCTTTTCAGTGGTGATTTTACATTAATCAATTCATGATCTCAATCATAAATTCTTTGTCTGTGTTTTGATAAACAATACGGTAATAGTATTTAGTCCAGCAGTTTGTTTATAAATAGTAACCTTGTTTACTTTTATAGTTAACACTACGAAATGACCTAAATTAAACAATCGTTGAAGATCAAGAAGTATTGGATAGCTATCTTATCCTAGTATGGGACTATTTGACACTGTACATTCATGAATCTGTCAAAGATCCAATCTAGGACCATTAGGTCACATAATGGACAGCATGACTTTTCGAACACTAAGCCATCATCCATTGGTTTACTTGTTTATATATGATTGGTTGGCAATATTACACAACCACCTTTCAATGTCACTGTTTGGTAACGCAAATTCATCATTATTGTACTCTATTGATCATGACTAGAATGATGTATTCAATCAGTTACTCAGTGGTTCTACTTATTGAAATCTATTTACTCAGAATTTGTGGGTCGCTTCAGTTATCAAATCATTAGTTTAATCCCCATTAGCACTTTAGTATCCCATTTGAAATAGAAAGTTTCATCTAAACCTGTTATCTTTGATAACTATAATATCAATAAGTTATCTGGATTTACTTCATACAAAGTATGAAACAGAAATTATTATACTGTGAAGTCTCAGAACATGACGGTTAAAGAAACAAGATTGTTCGATTGTTAAATGACCCTTTTTACTTCAGAAAATGATTCATATAAGCTAAACTGCCGACTCATTATTACTATTACTAAAATTATAAACCTACACAAAACAAAACAGTTTAAAAAGCTGACTAATGAACTTGAGCAAAGAAAGGTTTCTTTTTGTTTTTCTTTGATCTCACAAAAATATGAACAGTTAAATCTACCAGTACTTAGTAATGTTTTTTCATCTCACATTAGCCATTCAAGATTGTAAACCTAAACTCAACTTGACGTAATGACGAATATAATCTACTGAATAGTTAGTAAGCCTTATAGCTACGTTTTTGTTTGTTATATTTTCGATGTGTTTACGTAAGATATTGTAGTGTTCGTAGTGTTATTATTTCCCTTAATTTATACTACCCTATTTTGTTTAAATCAGAATAGACATTTTTCTCTTCTATTATTCATTGTTTTAAGTTGTAGTTTGTTAAATAACAATTTTCTTGTCAATAAACAATCTATATATAAGTATAGATAATATATGAGAGACTCAAATGATCAATTAAACCAAAGTATAATTTAATTTTGTTATGAACTGCCTTGTTAGAAATTAATGACATTATGAAGCTGAAATTAGTACTATTTTCCCCCTCTCTCTCTTGCCCTCTCACTCCCCCTTTTTTTAGTTCAGCTTGTTTCTCCCTTTCTCTGTTAAATATTACTTCAGTTAAGTGTATCTTTCAAGTGGAATAACTAACTTTTACACTGTTTACACTGAGCACAATTTGATTTCTATGCAGAAAAAATGCCGATTTATTTATATATTCATAAGTAATAATAATAATAATAAGTGAAACTAACTATCAGTATTATAACGTTAAGAGGAATAACGATTACATAATTCATCAATACATAAAATAATGAATGAACAATCTTAATTGAATCCTTTCATGCTTGATGAAAAAAACTGAGTCGATAGTTGGAAGAAACAAGCATCTCTCTCTCTCTCTCTACTCTTCATTTACTTTTGTATTGTGTTTTTTATTCGTTTTTAAGTGAATAGTTTATCAAGTATACATAACTTAATCAGCTTTTTCAACAACAACAACAACAACAAAAACTTGACTATTTCAGTTGGTTAGTCTTAGTGATTTGTAAGTTTTGTATAGTTCGATTTGATTATCAGTAAGGAGTTGTGGAGATTATTGAGCTTAGATTAATATTACGAATGGATGAATGAAAACCTGAAAGCTCGAAAATCTCCACAACCCTTTACTAATAATTATCTTATGTTCATTAGTGATTGGTTTCAAAATGAATTTGTCGGAGTTCAAGTGAGAAACCTTGACCAGTGCGGTATATCCGTATCAGTGATGGGACGTTCGCTCACTAAAGACAATAGAGAACGGTTGCGCAATACTGTGGAGTGGTTGAAGTTCCATATTAACACCGTCGGATGTCGGTACGGTAGTCTATAGGTTAGGTGTTCGCGTGCGAGATCGAGGGCCCTGAGTCTGAATCCCACCCGCGAGGTAGTGAACACACACTGCTGAGGAGTCCCATACTGGGACGAAAGAACGTTTATGAGGTTTAAGTGTGCTTGACCAGTTTTCTTGATTCATTTATATATATTTGACCCTTCAACACGAACGTCGAAATAGTCCTACTAAACAGAGCTGAAACGTGGAGAACTACCACAACCATCATCAAAATAGTACAAGTATTTATAAACAATTGTCTACGCAAGATAATGAACGTGCGTTGTTCGGACACCATCAACAACAGCCTACTGTGAGCGAGAACAAACCAACTTCCAGCTGATCACGAAATTAAGAAAAGATATTAAAAGTGGATAAAACATACATCACAGAAATCATCAAAATGCATTACGAGGTAAGCCGTAACTTGTAATCCTGAAGGGAAATGGAAAAGACGAAGGACAAATAACACACTGTGTCGAAAATTACATGAAAACATGAAAAGCATGAATAGCAACTGGAAAAAACTGGAAAGGAGTGTTCAGGATAAGGGTTGAATGGAGAATGATAGTGGGCGACCTTTGCTCCACCACGAGTAGTAACAGGCTTATGTAAGTAACATTACTGCTATTTCTACTACTACTAATAATAATAAGTAATTCCGATAAGCGATTTGCAATTTGTTATTACATAAATATTTATAATATAAAAATCTATGATGATTTCAACCTATCCTGAAAACGAGTCAGTTTTTACGATACTTTTTATGCAAAAAAAAGGATGTCACGAGCTCACCAAAAACAATTTCATGCTTTTGTTTTTAATGTAACTAAAGTCAACTATCATTATTATTATTATTATTATTATTATTATTATTATTATTATTATTTGTAATGACATAATTTAATCTTGTCAACAATGATATTGAACAGACAAAAACATAAATCTAAATAGATATAAACTTTTTCATAGTAGTATGTCAAACTTTTTTCAGAAATTTCAACTGCAATTATTTAATTCAATTCAGAAGTTTTTATCCTTATAATAGTAAACCATATAGTAGGGTGATTAGTAATGGTAGTATGAGTAGTAGTAGTAGTACTATGAGTATTAGTAGTAGTTCAACGAAGTAGAACACAGGTGAGGGAACAACCAAAAGTGTTTTAATACAAATTATCGTAGTATCTTGGTAAAATATATGAACCATACATAAAATGCTCCATTTGGAAATATCCTAACAATTGTCTCAAATTTCATCGTTCCTTCATTGCCATAACAATTACTCTCTCTTCCTGTTCATTTCGACTCGATCTTCTCAACCTTCTGATACCAGGCACTTCTCTTTTAACTGGCGTTATATACTACTTATGTCGACGTAAGTAACATGCACTAAAGTAATAATAATAACATTCAATTTAATTGGGATATATATTATCCAGACCTAACTACTTACAATCCTGAAATTCACTACTGACCTAAAATAAGCGTAGTGTGTGTAAACACGTCAAAAATGTTTGATTCAGATCATCAATCGATTGATGTTAGACCACACATTAAAAACCTGGAAGCACTGGACGGCCATTTCGTCCTATTGTACGACTCCTCATCCACGATCAAAAAGTTAATAATCTTCACAACCCCATACTGATAATCCACTAAATATTCTAGCGAACAAATTCAATGGAGGTGGAAACTGTCTAATAGAGTTGTATTCAATAGTTTAAATATACGATTAGAAATAATTCTTATCAGTCGTTAAAAATGCTGAGTGACAGGATACAGAGTCACATGTAATTTGACAAGTAATTTTATTTTGCTACATCCTCTTGAATACAGAATTCTAATATCATTCCATACATTTATCACATGAGTTTTCTCTATTTTCCAAACTATATTCTCAATTTTATGTGATTGCAGAACAATAAATAAGAAGTTTCGTCTAAATTTGAACGAATAGTTTCACAATATTTGGGCGCCGAGTTAATGTGAGTCATTAAGGAGGAATAATATATATTTGTAAAATCTCAGAGAATGAATTTTAAGTAAATCCAACGTTTCGCCTGGCAATCTGGTCCAAGGAAAATAGAGTTTCCTTGAAAAAGCTTGGAGCAGATTGCCAGGCGAAACGTTGGATTTACTTAAAATTCATTCGCTGAGATTTTACAAATATATATTATTCCTCTTTATATTCTCAATGTTTTATCCTTCTTACCATCATTACTCATATCATTATTTAAAATCTGTTGTTAGTCATTTCATCAATTTTGTTTTGTCAAGTTAGTTCAGTGTGATAATTTTGGGCCTATGAATATTTGTTCTACGTTTGAAGTTAATTATAAATTATATATTGACTTGACTGAAGGCATTCTGTGTTACAATTCAAAATTTGTAGCAGCGATTCAGTTGGATCTTTTTTTATCTTTTCTTAAATCTCCAATTTATCCCTATCCAATATTTCTCACTCTTTCATTTCACTTGAACGTTTCGTATCATACATCTTTTGCTTAGTTTCATAATACAAGTCATATTGTTATTCTTTCCTAGTCCGTTTTTATTTTATTAGTTTCTTCTCATCCTATTACTGATTTTTCATATGACACCATGGATAGATATACATTCATATCACAGCCTATGTCATCTGTGACGGACTGAATAACTAAGTAATAGTATGGTGAACAAGAACGCGAGTGGCGACAAGCGGATGTATTTGACACAAAATTACAGATTATCTCGGTAAAATATGAAAACCATCCAGTAAATGGTTAGTTTGCGAACTATCAACCCATCGTCTCGAACCTGACTGTTCCCTTTGCAGATATCAGCCCATTGTCTCATATTTCATTGTTCATGCATTTTCATACCGATTGCGTTCCATTCCCGTGTTTTCCTTGTCGATCTTCTACTGAAATACATCCTATGCCTGACCACCATTCTATACTACTTATGGGGATATAGGTAACCTGCACCACAGTAGTAACTATTGTATTTAATATTCTTTTAAAAATATCACTTTGTAAGAATGTTTTAAAAATAATCAAATATGGAAATGACATATAGTTTATTTTAGAAAGTCAAACTGTATGAAACTGTTCATCCATTTGTCGACGTAAAATTTTCTTCCTTTGGCCCTGAGGGTCCTAGATGAGGGTTTCTCTTGTGACGCATTTGGGTGCTTTCCTCAATGTGTGTGCTATCCACTTTCAGCGCTTCTTCCCGATTTCTTCCTCCGCTACAATCTGGTTTGTTGTCTCTCACAGTAGGTTGTTGCTGATAGTGTCTGGCCAACGGATATGACGTATTTTGTGTAGAGAACTGTTAATATACAATTTTATCTTCTGGATGATGGCTTTCTCAGTTCCGCAAGTTTCCACCCCATACAGTAGAACGGTCTTGATATTTGTATTGAAAGTTCTAACTTTGGTGTTGGTTGATAGTTGTTTTGAGTTCCAATTGTAGATATGCTGCTCTTGCTTTGCCGATCCGCGCTTTGACATCTGCATCAGATCCCCCTTACTCGTCAGTGATGCTGTCCTGATATGTCCTTCATTCTGTTTAACAATACTCTGTCGAAGACTGTTCCTGGTATTGAGAGAAGAGTGATGCATCTGTCGCTCTCACACTTGCTGAGATAGCCTTTCTTCGGTATCTTGATTAGGTGTCCTTCTTTCCATTCTGTTGGTACTTGTTCTTCATCCCAAATTTTGCTGACGAGAATGTTGAGTATCTTTGCAGTTACTGCTACGTCTGCTTTTAGTGCCTTTTCTGGAATGTTGTCTGGTCCAGCTATGAGGAGTTATGATAAAGATTTACGGTTGAATGTTAGAATTAGGAATTAGATTTAATATTTTCATCATGAACTGACATCAGCTATAATACCAAAATGGTATTTAGCTAAATGAGTGAATGAATTTCTCGCCAAAATCCAAGATCTGCCACCTTAAATATGACTGGTTCGTTCATAGATTATAGTCTCGTCAAATAAACATTTTTTTAAAAATCAATAAAATCATTAAAACAATAGTGGTATAAAAATTAATAGGACCATTTTTCGTGTCGTTTTCTGTCAAATCAAAGATATAATCAATATCTTTTACATACAAAGACTACTATTGTTAGCTCGAATCAAGACGAGTTTGAACCTTATTCAAAAAATTGAAAAAGTACTAGTGATGAATGCATTACTTTTGTCTATCACATCACAACTGTCGACTATACATCAACAATATTATTTTATATTAGTTCAGCAAAATCTTCATTCAACATTGCATTCAGTATTTATTTTTACTAGTTCAATGTTAATTATTAAGACTATAAATTATTTCTTTTGATGAAAAACATGAACCATTTACTAATGAGTTTGCAAGCATCATTACCAAGTTTTGACTTGATAATTTTGAATAAATTTAGCATTGGGTAGATTGTCATAAATAAATAACCAATTTTGGTTTGGTTATTTATTCTCTGAAGAAGTAGATTACAGTAAGTTACGAAACGTCAGAAAATCTAATTTTTCTACTCATTTAGACATTACAAATATATTACTTATTTATGAACTATTTACGAACTCACGTATAACACTATCTAGAAATATTTATTTATCCATAACTATAATAAAAGACAAATTGGGCAACCTGAATAATCAGTATGAAACGAATTATTGTAAAATGAAAACTTTAAATATTTTTTTCAGATCCCCAGCCTCTGAGTAATTTTAAATGAAAACATATTTCGAAAATAAATGCACATTTTTAATTGTACACTTCTTATATAAACTAAAATCAAGAAGTAAAAGTAATGACCGAAAATGGTTGTTGAAAGATTTTCCTATATACGGTTTTCATTCAATTAGAATTTAGTCATCTTGTCAATATAAAAACAAAGAATACGCTTGTTAGTATTTTGGTGATCGACTACTGACGTAATGTGTAGCAATATCCTTTAAATTCTAGCTAAAATGAATTTCATGATGTATTTTCATAGTCACTCATTTAAATTTTCTGAAGATATAAAAACTTAGTTAGTGACGTAGAGAAGTCGAATAGAATTAAGCTTGAGTTAAGCATAAATATTTTCCTATTCTCAAGTGATTTCAAACTGAAATATATATTACTGTTTTCGTGAAGCATTCACCGAAAGTGTTCCTCTTCAACATGGCCTATCTTGAACGTTATATGGATGTGCATTGTTATCATTAAATTAAACGAATAATGAACCGCTTTTAACAATATTATCCGTGAATACATCATTTATTTTGGTAAGTAAACGAGTAAGCACATAATAAACTATCAACTTACCGGAAAGAGTCATGATCTACGTTTGATGGTAGACGTTTGAAAACAAGGAGTGACGATGTGCCCTTCATGACTTGAGGTTTCGCTGATCGACATATCACCGCACTCCTCAAGTTAACAAGAACGCTTTTAAGTTCACAATCGCATGTGTAAAATATGTTTAAAGGTCCATCATAATCCACAGAATGTCTTTCAGACAGTTCAGGTGATGCAAGTGCTGCATTTTCCGACATAGACAATTGCTCTTCAATGGTTTTCAGGCCATTCATCATCAGTATGTACAGCAGGCAAACGAATCTAGTTAAGATAACGTCCAACTAACAGAATCGTTATGTGAATGGTCAATACATAATTCATAATTGCCATAAAAACCTGTGATTTTCCAAAGCAAACTGCTCGGTAGATAACGTTCCATGAATTTTTTATTTAATTTACGTTAATCATTTTTCAGTGTCGTTTTAACTGCTTTGCGACATCGCGGCCAATTTATTTTATTCTGGAGGCGGCTTTTTTGGCGTATTCAAATCTGGTCTGTTCGTTTGTTAACGTTGTATGTTTATTCCATGTTACTTAGATATTCCCCATTACTGTTTTAGGGTGGTTAGATGAACTAAGGTATGAGCTTTTGATGTAGGTAGCTCTGTCGGCTGAGCACTGTGAGAACGTCCCTTCTCAATCACAACAAACTCTTATGTATTCTGTTTAATAAGGTTCTGAATCACACTTAACCATGGCTTCAGACTACTACTTTTCCTTAAATCGCCCACATAGATTTCCGATCTTCATAAGCTCATTTTCAGCAATATAAACTGCTTTTACCTACCATTAGTGAATTCACCTTCAGAGTGTTCCTCTAACTTGTAAACTCTGAAGAAAATCCTGGAACTCTGTATTTCTTGTATGTTTGCAATCTCATAAGAGTTTACAGCTTCTTAAACTCAGTCTTAGACACTCTCTACTAGTTAGTACTAGCCACTTAACCAAACTAAAATCAGTGGATTTATGTTGAGACCTGCTTACAGGTCAAAACCTGATTGCTGCATCCAAATCTATTGTCTTGAAAAAGTGAGAACACCTGACTCGTAACACAAAATTATTGCACTTGTGGACTTATGTCACTGAATGCAATCATCAGCATTATTAAAGCACTAAAATGAATACTTTAAAGTACTCAGACTACTGACAAATTCCGGCCATTCGTTCCCCGTAATACATTCGAGAAGTGCTCAGAAGGCAAATCAAACACGTGCAACCTTCACGTCTTTTCATTTAATGCTTCAGATTTTCAGATTTGTGTAGTAAGGACAGAAGGCCTACGGCCTATGTTATTCCTTTTCTAGTATGCTTCTGTGAGTGTCCAGTCTTCTCTTGAAAGAGTCAATTGAAGGTGCGGATACCACTGCTTCAGGCAGCAGGTTCCAAGTATTGATGACTCGGTGTGAAAACCTGTATGCCAGGGGTATTTTGTTCGTTCTTGGCTTTTCTACTCGCCTGCTATGTCCTCTGAGGTGTCCCGATCTAGTGGGAAGAAAGAGAGAGAATAAGTTAGGTCCGAAATCACTTCTCAGTATTCTGTACATCAATATTAGATCTCCCCTTAGTCTGCGATAGGACAGAGTAAAGAGGTTCAGTTTTTCAAGCCGCTCTTCATATGATAAACCCCGGAGTTCCGGAATTGCACGCGTAGCTGCCCTCTGTACCTTTTCTAGTATGTCTGAGTCACCTTTTAAACAGGGGCTTGCAGCCTGAACACAGTTCTCTAACTTAGTTCTCACTAAGGATGTGTATAATGTGGTGAACATGGTAGTATCAAGCTTAGTGAATGTCCTTTTTAAAGCCCAGAGGGTTCGAAACCCCTTAACTGCGACCTCCCGGCAATGGGCCGTCGTCTTAAGATCATTGCTCACTGTCACCCCTAGGTCCTTATGAGACCGGACTACGGGTAATGACACATCCCCTATGTTGTACGTATTAACCTTTGAATCCCCCAAGTGCATGTAGACACACTTTTCCGAGTTGATAGGCATTAGCCACTCTTTAGACCAGTTTATCATATTATTTAAGTCCGCCTGAAGAGTAAATGCGTGTGTCTCCAGTTATTACTCGCCAAATTTTTACATCGTCAGCGTATAATAACATTGGAGACTGTACTATACTTGTAAGATCATTAACGTACATTATAAAAAGTAAAGGACCTAGGACGGAACCTTGGGGTACTCCACTAAGTACTGGTCTCCAGATGGAGCACTTGGAATTTATTCTTACTTTTTTGCCTACGACCTACTAGGAAATCCTTAATCCATTTTAAAAGAGGTCCGGCAATACCAAGGTTTGCCAACTTCAATAGCAGTCTATTAGTTGGCACCTTGTCAAAAGCCTTACTGAAGTCTATGTAGACAACATCCACTGAGTTTCCGTTGTCTAGCGCATTAATCCAGAGCTCCCTAGCTATAAGGAGGTTCGTTGTACAGGATAGACCCTTTCTAAAACCATGTTGTGCCATGTTCAGCAAGTTATTGGTTTCCATAAATGCTGTTATGGTCCGTTTGATTATCCTTTCCAGTATTTTAATTACAACACTGGTGAGGCTTACGGGTCTGTAATTTGATGGAACTTGTCGTAGACCAGTTTTATGTATGGGAGTGACGATTGCGTCCTTCCAGTCCATAGGTAACACACCTTGGTCAAGTGACATTTTGAATATCACAGTCAGTGGGGCTGCGATATATTCGGCAATATGTCTCAAGATTTTGGGGTGTAGTTCATCTGGTCCTGTTGACTTCTCCATGTTTAGGGTGCTAAGAGCCTTAAGCACATCGTTTTAGTCGAAGTCCACGGTGAGCAGCTGGTTTGTTGACTCTGTAATTGGGTCTGGTTCTTTCTCTAGAGGAGGTTCCTGAGTGAAAACTGCCCCAAAGTAGTCAGCCATAATCTCAGCTTTTTCCTGATCTTCCTCTATCATTTCAGATTCACTTCCTACTTTAATTAGGTTGGGAATCCAGTGATGAGTCCTTGTTCTGTAGTTTATGTACGAGAATATCCTCTTAAGCTGCTTGAGTGCAGATTCTGCCAGCTGCATTTCGTATTTTCTTTGCGCTTCCCGAATTTTAGTTATACACACGTTTCTTATCGATCTGTAGTGTTCCATCGTACCTGCTGTGCCAAGGCGGATGGCAACATCCCAGCATTTCTTCTTTTGTCTTAGTAAGCGTCGAATATCCCGCCCTATCCAGGGATGTCCGTGCTTCTTTTTCTTCGGGACAGTCCAGGGTATGTATGGTTGAGTTACCCGATTGTATAACTGCCTGAATAGAGTCCATGCCTCTTGTACTGATGCCTTTGAGTCAATTTCCCAGTTCTCAGCCGATGCTGCGGAGTCAATTGCCTGCATATCTGCCTTCCATATGTTAGGACGGGCCGGCGCAATTGTTTGAGAAGCAATTTCAGCCATGAATTTGAATAAGATGACTGCATGGTCACTTCTCCCAAGTGGTGGGAGAAAAGCCGTTTGACCAACGTCCTCACCGTGTGTGAAGACTAAATCTAAAAGAGGGGAAGAGTTTCTTAAGTCGTATCTTGTGGGATCTCTAATGTGTTGGAATAATGCTAGTCCAATCGAGGTTTCTAACAGTTTGGAGTCGAACGACGATATAGATGACTCTACTTCTAAGTTAACCCAGTTTATATATGGTGCATTAAAGTCGCCTACTACAAGGCTTTTACCGTTGTTACACCAGGACTTAAGTTTACTGAGGAGAAAATCATCTGCTACACATTCTGGACTGTGATAAACTACAACTAATTCAATATCTTGCCTTCGGCATTTCAACTTACATCTCACCAGTTCACATGTCCCTGAAACATGTGCTACTGTCTCAGCTAATCTTATGGTTAGGGTACTTTTCGTGTACACAATAACCCCGCCTCCCCTTCGGTTTAATCTATCAGCCCTACTGGTTATGAAACCAGTCAATTGGATTTCACTATCTAATACTTCTGACGTTAACCAAGTTTCCGAGACAGCGATAACGTCCGGTTTTTCTTTATCTACCACTGACTTCAGCTCCGCCATTTTATTTAGTAGGCTGCGAGCATTTGTGTAGCACACTTTTAAGTCTGTGGAGAGCTTTCCCTTGCCTTAAAAGTGTGCTACACAAATGCTCGCAGCCTACTAAATAAAATGGCGGAGCTGAAGTCAGTGGTGGATAAAGAAAAACCGGACGTTATCGCTGTCTCGGAAACTTGGTTATCGTCAGAAGTATTAGATAGTGAAATCCAATTGACTGGTTTCATAACCAGTAGGGCTGATAGATTAAACCGAAGGGGAGGCGGGGTTATTGTGTACACGAAAAGTACCCTAACCATAAGATTAGCTGAGACAGTAGCTTCACCAATGTAAAGAGATAAATACTCAAATACCTTATAGTGTAATCGCTTTTTGACACGGTAGTAAATATCTCGTCTGCCCCATGTATAGGTTGTCAGTGGGCAGACGGGGTTTTTATCTGTATGGAGGTCTGGTCACTCACCAACCTACAGCAGCTCATATGACATCAAAAATCAATACCCTCGGCTACTGTACCTAGCGTCAAACTAAGCATTGATCGACCGAATTCAAAACATTTTGTACTCAGAATAGGTTAAGTGTACGTCGAAAATTCTCTTGTTGCCACCTAGAGTCTGCAGAAAGCTGCATTTCATCCTCACTTTCAGCAATCATGATAATACCATCTTTGATTTCCAATCCAACAAGGTATTTTCCACACATGACGTCAGCCATTGGAAAGCCAAACAAGAAATGCTTGACCTCCAAGAGCATATCTAAAGTGAAACCCAAATATAACTATTAAACGATACGTTTAAACTCAGGTATCCTATGATTTAGGTCTCTTCCGAAACTCGGTAAGTGGTCCCCTAAAAAAGTACCTGCTTCATTTTGGGCACCCGGGCAGTATTCCAGCCAAACTAAGTCATTTATGTGGCGCATATATATTTAGTGCCTCTTCGTACCGATGTTTATGTTTAAATAAATAAATAGAAACACAGAGTTTTTACTCCGGTTAGTTAACCTATGTACTGTTATTTTATTTTATTAAACTTGACATCAATTTGGGGTGGTGATAAATTCGACAGAAAGATTGGGGAATACGTTTTCTTTGTAACATTTAACTTTGCTGATTTGAATATCGGTTGACGAACTAATTTAATAGTTGTGGGCTATCATTTATCATAGCGCACAACATCCTGTATGATGGACCACTGATTCCTTTGGTATCTCATGATTTAACTTATTACTGAGTTAGCACAACAACCACTATAAAATTGTTTCGATAGTTCGAAAATCATATTGGGTCAGTTTTCATTCTCGATATCAAATCCGCCAGGATATACCTGGAGTTATAACATATTTATCGGACATACATTTCTGACATCTAGCGACGATATGTGATTCAATTAGTGTCACCATCTTGAAATATCGACTTCGGTAACTTGGTTATATTTCACAAGTATCATCCGAGAGACTTTTATAACCCCCATTATTTGCTGATGTTGGAATTAGGTAGGAAAACCAACAGCGATCATTTCATAATAGCTGTAGTATGAAAAATAATTTTAAGAGACTGACATCTGTCGACTTATCAGGGTTCTCCAGTCGGGGTCTTAATTACTGTTCAACTCGGATACTAGGGACGTTGTCAGATATGACTCAGTAAAAGTTAATACCAATCGTTCTGCAGCATTTTATTGCATCCTTCATAATTGAGTGATGGTCTTTCTGCTAGTTTTCTTGGTTATACTTTTAACTAATCTACATCTCAATAAATACTACTTAATGGTTGTACTGCTCTTCTCTTTTATTTCGTCACACTATCGACTTTTTTGTATCACCGAATATACGCACTTGATTTTAACCACCGAGTTTAATTTAGTGTGATTCGTCGAATATCTGCGGATTCATTATCTAGTCTTCATGAGATTGCAGGTGTAAGGATAACAATAACTTTCATAGTGTGAAATTCACTCCCTAATCAGTAGCCGTCTATGTTTTCGGTTTTATGTCTCCATAAAAGTTCAGAGGGACCCTAAATTATGACATTTGCTGATCACAGTGTTCCTGTATATACTCACTAAATTGAATGTAAACAAATTCGATACTGAATCTTCTCAAAAGTTGTCATCGCATGGGCTCCAGGATCCTGAAGGAACAAATAGCGTATGAACCAATCGTCGGTCACCGGCTACCATGGGACTGCATCTCCTCACGATGCTCCACTGCCTTGTGGATCAGACCTTTAGGTCGAAGGCTCCAGGTGTGGTCCCCTGCCTCGGTTTGGGCATCCAGACAGTATCGCAGCCCTCGCACAAATCAAATGAGATTTATGTGGCACATATGTATTTGGTGCCTCCTTGTACCAATATCTATGTTTTCAAATAATAAAAACCATTAAGTCAAGTTTAAACATATAGTTTTATTGAAATATAAACTCAAGTAACAATTATTAGTATGGAAGTTGTGGATATTGTTGAAATTTACTATCATGAATCAATGTAAGTTATTTAATATTTATTTATTTATTTAAACGCATAAACATTGGTACATGGATGCGCCACACAAATGATTCAGTTTGTTTAAGGGATGGACTGCTTCCCGGGTTCTCGGACCGAAGCAGGTGCTTTTTTAGAGGGCCAATCTCCGTGCTTTTGGCCCAAAGGTCTAATCCGCAAGGCACTAGAGCAACGTTAGGAGATGCAGTCCCATAGCAGCCAGTGACCAACAATAGGTTCATACTCCATTTGTTCCCTCGGGATCGTGGAGCCCATGTGCACCGTTGGTATGGAATCAGGGTTTTCCAACTTCCCTATGTGGATCCTCAGTATCCACCAACCCGGTTAAAGCGCCGGATATTCGCTCCACTTGCTCTCAATTTCGTAAACAACAACGATGCTACAAGAAGACAGTGAGTAGGTCTTCTTTGATAGTAGCCATGTAGGAACATTTCGAAATGGAAACAACGTAAGTTAGGTAACTATGATTGTCACTTTCAGGCTATCAGTGTATCTTGACGACAAACCTACGGAATTCGAGAGGTCTCTAACAAACTTAAAGCGATACGGAACATCGAAACATCGCATTCTGATTCTAGAAGTCCTTAAAGACAGTAATCGAAAACTAAACGGCGATTATCAAAGGAGCAGGTTATGTAATTGCTAGAGTCAGCCAAACTGAGGTGTATCATCGGTCCATCAAACTGTGAACTTCCTGGCTTGGTGAGTTCAAGGCTGATTCCAACTACTCGGATTTACTAATTATTTACTTTCCTCTAAGTTTTCAGCGTAGCGTTCTTTGAAACTTTAAACTCTTCTGTTTCTTTTGTTCCTTTTGAAATATGTTTTATGTTAATCTTCCTATAATTGATATCGTTATTCCTCTTCTGTTTTTCCTCGTTTTTGATTTGTCTTTCATCGCTACTCTGACATGTAGGAACTTGGTTAAATACATGTTTCTGCCAGATTCTATGTTGTCTGTGACTGACTAACTTGTCGATTAACATGGAATTCCTAAATTGTTTGCTTTTTATTTTACTACACGTCCAAATGTCTAATTCAATCAATTTCTTATATTTGTTAATTTCGTCTCGCTATGTTCAAATCGTGCTTACATATCTGATAATTACTATCAGTTGTTTTGTTAAAAATTCAGTTACACTGGGGTTACTTTTTGGAATTATCAGAGCATAAAGTCGTCAATCCACTTATTATTACCACGTCGCTTGGGCTAGTGTGCGCTTGTCGTTGTCTGTGCTAGAAGATGCAACCCAATAATCACATAGATTTGTGTTCTCGACCGTAGCTGATGCATATTATAATATTTAATATTATGTGACTATTCTAGCTGGGGTGGTTCAAATCCCCAATCTGATAGCAAAAAGAAAATCGCCTAGTCTATTGGTCTACAATTTCGAATCTATACATATAAACAAACTATTATACCAATTCATTTTCCCCCTATTTCGCCCTTAGGTACCATATCGAAATGTCTATGAATCAAAGCCATTCCGCAAACGGCAATGGTGTCATTCTGTTTTATGGAGAAAGGTATATGCTCAAATCGAGGTTTTAAGTAAACCAATTATTGTGTTTCAGGATGTTAATTTATTACGATGGATGTCATGTAGAACTCGAGGGTCAGTTTCTCAAGTTTTCACATATGGGACGTTTGTACCTGACTTCACATAGAGTAACTAACTTCACATAATTATCTTTACCAAATTTTAACAGGTGATTTTTATCAACAAAAAAGCGTCATCAGGCGTACTATCATTCAGTATGCCATTTGTTAATATGAAAGAGGTTGACATTAAACAACCTGTGTTTGGTGCGAATCGCGTAGAAGGCATAATTACGGCTGAACCGAATGGTGGCTGGCAGGTAAATTAATTACTGTCTTTGATTGATCCCCCTACCTTCTTAAAATACTAATTTTTGAGCTCACGTTAATCCCACATATGTAATTTAAAATCATGTGTTTTCACAATCCATTGATTGTTAGAGTTACAAAGTAGATTCACTATATGTAACACATCGCTAGACTAGCTGATCTGTAATTAGTCTTACTTAGAACATCCTTTTTTCTAATAAATGTTTTGTAATGGACACAGATGTTTTTAAGTAATCATAAACCTGTGTAATTCATTTATCAAATACAGGCTTATATGCAATAAGTTTGTATTTCTTAGATGATATGATCACTTGTTCCTATAATAAATAATTCAGTGTATCAACCATCGTATTACTTTCACCAGTGAAACATATTGACTATAGAATTTAAATATACCTCTAGCAATGCATAAATTCTCGTAAAACTAATTTTCCTCAGCCTCCTGTCGATTGTTTCCAACCATTAAAATATAAAATATTGTTCATTACTGTGTGGAGTCATCAGACTTGGTAGATGTATAACACAATTTATCAATATTATAAAATCATCACAAAGATATGAATGATACCTCATACTTCTCATTTAATATTAGTTGAACTATTCAGTGAATATTTACCAAGCCATTTTTGATTTGAAGGTTTCGTCATTTGTCTAATGTATTAAATTCTTTTTTGAACATTTTTAACTCGAAATTTCCTGTTATATGGTAGACTAATTAGTCGCGGTTTTTAATTCACGTTTGTAAGTAATACAACTAAAACAATTAATGATTGTTTAAGTTAGACTAATGACCTCTTATGATACTGTGACTTTCAAGGTTAATGTACTGGTCTACTGTTAAAATGTAACAGAAATAAAACGTACACTTATTTTAAGAATCGGTCAATATTCACACTCAGGTTTTAATGTGTAAAACTAAAAGTACATATACAGTACAGAAACTCATCTATATCAATCGTAATCGATTTTCTTCTGGTCTATGAATAGTTTTTTTATGTTTTCACATAGTTAAGACTTCCCCATGAGTACGTTCATCAACAGATCAACGAAATCATTTTTATGTAGTAAGAGTATTCCTCTATTCCCTGTACATTACTCATAACATGATTAGCCTGAGAATTAATCTATAGTGTGAACATCATCACCAGAACAAATATATCCATATTCCGTCGGTTGTCTTTTTTCTGGTCAATTGAACAAGTTGTAAATATTCCATAATCTTATTTGAAATGTGATTGAGATAGTCAGTAACACTGTATAGATCGTTACAATGAAACTTAATATCCACTTCCCCAAATCTTATCGTCTTAGCAGTTTATCATAGTTTTATCTAATTATTCAATACACTTCAATAAACACATGTATAGTTTTGTGTTACAGGCTTTTAGCAAGTGGTAATACCCTGCTACGTAAACGTATAAGTAAACAAATTGTAATTTCAACTTCCAACCCAATCGCTTAGAGTCTAATATCACCAAGTCTTAATTCCATTTATTGTATTCTGGTTTACTATTTGTTATATTTCCCAGATTTTCATCATACATTCAAAGTGTCTCGCTCATTTTTTCTTCTAAGGGTGAAGCGAAATTCTCACTAACATTCAAAAAAGGTGGTGCAATTGAATTTGGCACAACGTTAATCGAACTAGGCAGACGTGCATGTTCTGCAAAACAACATTTCAAACCGCCAAATGCATATTCATCTGTAGCAGATATGAATGGTGCAGGTCAGTATTATGCTTGTCCACCACCAGCTTATTCCGCGCCTTACAATGATCCATACTATGGATTTGTACGACCACATGAAGCATTCACTGTACCTCAAGGTAAGTAGTATCTTCTCCCTCGCTCTTCTTATCAACTCGTTCTTCATATTTACTGATTAATGAAAGCAAGTAAATACAACTGTTTTACTTATCTAAGCTTATATTATCATTGTTATTGTACCAATTAATTGTTGGTTAGAGGCCTTAAGTGATTCGGCTCAGAATCGTTCCTAGTGACATAGATGTGTTTATTTTTTGTCTTCGTTTAGAAATTGAGTCCCGAAATCTCATTGTTTTCTACTACTTCTGATTATGATGTTACTACAACTACTACTTTGGGATTTTTCTTGAAATAGTTTTACCTTGTTCTGATCTACTATAGCAGGTTTTGCCGATGCACATAAGTGTTAGAGTCTACATTGCCCATGGCTGACTGAAATAATTGTTAAAACTAATATTAGTAGTAGTAGTAGTATCATTTTATGTTCATAGTTTAGTTTCCTAATTGAATCGATTTAATAAAACTAATGTGAGTTTATGACTTTACATTGAGACAAACTACAACCATTTTAAAATGGATCCACTAATTTTATTTATTAAATTTGTACAGGCGATCTTAACATTATTAACTAACAATTGATTCGAATGAATGACCTACATATATAGAGGAAGGTAGAATTTCCCTCAAAATAGAAAAGAATTATTAATTCTGTAACGTTTACAATAAATTAGCCCCTCATTTATATACAATGTCTCACTGTTTTCGTAAATTTTTATTTTTTACAGCAGAAACACTCTACCAAGTCAGAGCACCACCTCCATATCCTGGTGCAACACCTACCACAATGGCTAATGATTTTGGACCTACTGGTACAAGTCAGTACACAACACCTTATCCTACTACCTCGACAACTATAGGAGGGAATGCACCATATCCAGTTACCAACTCAAAATATGAATGTAAGGGATTTTGTATTTCAAATTATTTTATTTTAAGAGTTTATCACTTATCAAGTTCTCACTTTTAAGGGAAAATCCGATTTCCTAATCTGAAAAGAGTTGGTGTTATCAAAATACTCTTAATGAGCATACGATCCAATTATATTCATAGGTTTATCCGTAATCTCTTATGTTTTAGACATTAACTACATCCATGTAGAATGATTCAAAGTGTAGATAGAACAAAATATGGTAACAATATATATAGCCACGTTAAACCTATCAGGTGATCCTATCAGTAACCCCTTCAGATAGAAGTTTATGCTGATGATTTTGTTCAGAAGAACAATGAAAGGCTCCACAACCAAACCATCCAGATCAGAGAAGAAAACCTAACTCACCCACCTGAGCTATAAATCTTCATCATCTTCATTTGTATTATATAATCTTCTTTTTAATGTTATCAGTCTTTTATATTAAAACATTACTGTGATGATTGTTTGGCAGTGAACTTGAGTAGAAAATATCTATCTTAAAGCATTTAAATAGAAAGTGAATGCTAGTATGTTACTATAAGTTGTTCGCTATGTTGAATTTAAGATTTGTTACTCGAGCAGACCTTATACTCGTATCTGAAAACTATTTCATACGTTTCAAATTAATGTTACTAGAACTGGCAGCTATTTTCAGCCTGGATATAATTAGTCTTGTACTGGATAAACCAGCTAAGGATTATACATTAGCTACTACACCGAAATGTTTTACGGTTAATGAATTGTGTTTATAGAAATTATTCGTGGCAATAGTAATTTAGTTTATAGTTCTGCTTCACTCTACTCGTAATTATTCATAAACACACTTATCATAGTGACTTACTTCAGGAGTAATGCGGTCCTAATAAATTTCATGCTTCTCTGTTCAATAATAATTTAGATTATGTTCACATGATGTGGTTCATAGCTTCCACATAATAATAGTCTTTGCAAAATTATTTCTTGATCTTCAGCCTACTTTTTCAACGCTTGTTTATTTCTTAGATAATGTTTATTTGTTGATTGGGTTAGATCCTAACTGTTATATTTTTAACATGTATCATTTTAGCTAAATCGAATGAAGCTGTTGCTTTCAATGGTCCTGCCAATGTTGTAAGTGGAGGTTACTACTTTCCAGAAGATCCTTTTAGTGTATATGTACAACCTAGTGCTCCAAATTATCCAGGCAACCCCCCATCTTATCCGGGTAATACTCAAGATAATCATAATCAACCACCTCCCTATCCAACTGAAAACTACAGCCAGCAACAAAACGCTTCTAAGAAAAATCAGTAATTAAGCTTGATTTTATTTACCACATCTTTTTATATTGAGGCAAATGATATCATCTGGTCATTATTGAGGAATTGTGCTAATATGTCTGTCATATTTTTCAACAATTTTCTGATTCATATTAACAATTCGGCATAATGTGATGGTTACTTTCTTTTCGATTCTTATTTGAACTCAATTATTTTTTGATTCACATAGAAACATCGTTTTGGTTGTTTTCTTCTCGCTTAAATAAATTATCTGATACCTTGAATTTATTTTTGAGTTTTAACGGTGTCTGTCCATAATTATTCGTAATGGTTCTCCAGAATTGTAAGTACCATAAACGACAGGTGGTTGTTTAATTTCTCAGCTAATCTAAGGCAGAATAAGCACAGACCGACAGACTTACCGGGCATTCAGAGTTTCTTTTTGTGTACAGGATCTTTGATGAAAAAATATGAAACTGCAAACGAAACAGTGATAGGATATTTGAATTGGTCAAGGTTTTGTATCAAATGGTAAAAATAAGAAATTTCTCGAAGAGAAAATATTTCCTTAGGTACGGATATGGTCTTTGATAATTCAAGTTCGTGCTGTTCACGGTGGTGTTACTTCAGATCCAAACAACAAGCTAATATTCAGGCCCTCAAAAAGTTACACCGCTTGTTTGGTCGTCCAGTTTAATTTCCTGGCTGGCGAGTTTTGTTTCACATAACTGAGAATACTGGTCAAGTCGCTAGAACTAACGACTGTATAGTCAAAAATGTACCTAGCGAGCGGTTCGGATTTACTTGACACAATTATAATCTGTTTGATATGAAAGGCAGAAGGTTAAAAAAGCTGATGACCTACTATATTAGATGCACGAATGAATGTTTTCAAGGGCGCGCCCGCCAATTCTGATGTGACCTTACTAATCTCTCACTGATAACGAGGAATATCCAGTTTCCACTGACAGATTGGAATACTTCACAAGTTGCGTCCTATCTTTCTAGTAGGCAACCGTAATAACAAATCTGACAACCATTGTATTACCGGAGGTGGACTACCGTGCACTAGGTCTAGCTGTCTTGATCAAGTGCTCTCGTCCTGCTCGCTTCAAATGAAGCATATGTTGATTCATTTATAAACAGGACTTGTGAAAGAGTTACAAATTAGGAATGATTGTAACCTACTGGAATTTCTGTAAACATCAAAAGGTTTCCATTTCCGTGATAGGCGTATACAAGCTTTCCTTTTTCTACCTTCTTTAAATAAAGAAACAACACAATGAAAGAGGTATTGGGTATTCTGGATATCAGCAGCTATTACTTTACCAGGTAGGAGATTGGTTTATTGGGATGTGAAAAATAACTCGACGAAAATTAGGACCCTGGAAGAGAACGTTGTTCCAAGGACTAACCAGCTAAATGAAAAAATTAATTAATCAGTAATGAAGGGTATGAGAAGACGGGAGTGCAAGAGTAAAAGGGGGACCGAGACAATGAAAAGCGATATGGGGGTAGTTTGGTGATTCGTAATAATGATATCATCAGGTAGGTTGAGAGACATCGATAAGGCAAAGCTGATCCATGCGAGAGACAATCATTCACGGGTGTGTAGGTGTTTATCAAATATTTTCTTAAGGCTGTGCTCCAAGGGGACTGTGGTCGTTTCATCTGGGAGAGCATTCCAAATGGAGACGACACTTTCCGAAAATGTGAAAGCGTACCTGGAGTTTCACTCTCTGATTTTCGATCTTTTAGGAGTTGCTCCGATTGGTGTAATGATGACGTCCTAGTAATATGCCTTGTTGGGGTGACTTGGCATATTTAATATGCTGTATGTTATTATCAGATCAATCTTACTCTGAAATAGCTTATCGAGAATAATCCCAGGTGCTGGAGTATTTTTTCATGACATTTATTTCTTGGTCCCTTGACCTACTTACTTGGCAGTCTCTGTTACTGATCTGGGGGATTTACATCTCTTTTGAAGTTATATGGAGCAACAACGTTGTGAACTTCCAGCTCTACGTTATAAAGTGTTGTCAACAATTCTGGGGTGACCCCTACAAGTTTTCCCCGCATAAAATGAAGCGTTGCGTTTGGCCTCACCGCATGTATTTTGAGCTAATGTTCCAGCTCTCTGTTGTTACTAACCCAAGATCAGGCTCTTAAGCGACAACCGTGAGTGAATTCTAACTGAGAACGTGAGAGCTTTCTGTCAGAATGTCTGTAACATGACATTTTGACGAATTTAGCTGCAATTGATTGTCTAATGTTCATTCCTCTAATGTTTTAAGGTCCTTTTGAATTTTTTGTAACCTGGTATATTACTCTGATTACTCCGATATTACTCCGAATATGAATATGCTATGAATATAAATCTTCTACTTGACAATATATTCTAAAACTAGACTAATCTAGTTTGTGCTACGGCAGTAATAAGAAACCATATACCGATTGAATTGGATGAATTTATCTAAGGTACTCATTCACTGAGATGGACATTAAAACTATGAAACGAGAAGTCGAAATAAAATGGGGAGGTCAAATGTGTTTGTAGGTTCCTGGTTTAATTGGTCAGCGGAGTTGGTATTAAAGACTTCTTCCATCCCTAGGTTGGCGAAATCCTCACTATCAGGCCCTGGTCTGAAGGTTTCCACTTATTCGTAAACCTAAAGGTGCATTTTATATTAGCTTGTATTTGACTGCTAGCTTGGTTTGGAAATACCTCCTACCTCTTCCAACTTTGGCCTTGAGTCTGTTTCTCAATACCAAGTAAGAGGTGTAGTCATAATCCTTTAGGTATACTTGCCACTTGCATCGAGCCCTCCTTTTTCCTCGTGTTCCGAGCGTCGTTCTACCAAGAATCTCTCTCTTAGTGTGCATTATGTTTGAAATATATTGTGTAAAACATTATACCTGTTTATCTTTACTGTTGGTCTCCAACAATCTGATATCCATGTTGCCTGTTGAAGATGCTCTGTCATGGTCATGTATTCTGCCTTAATGTAATAAAGGTAGGAAGCATTCTCATTCCTCAGAAGTATCTCTTTTGTGACCACGTTGAATATAACTGCAACAATGTTACTACTTTAAATGGATCAGATTATTTATCGGTAAATAGTCTAATCCTTACCCAATCTCGCGGCACCACTCACATATTCAGTCAGTCCCAAAATTCTGATGGCTATGAAGAGCCGCTTTTGAAACCATCCTGTTTGGTTGATATCCTATTAGCTGAGATTAAGAGATAGAGTGTTAAGATCTCCAACTAAGAGTATTCAGTCAAACTTAAGGTGTAATAGTTGTGACGTGATGAACGATTACTCAGATAGAAACAACCAAATGAATTTTAATACAAAGTTACAGAGTATCTCTGTAAAATATGAGAAACATACAGTAAATACTTCATTTGCAAATTTCCAACATTTGTTTTCATATTCGGTATGTCTCTTCAGACTCACAATTCCCTTCTAATTCTGTTTCTGTATTCATAGAATTCCGCTGCCAAGTTTTCTACTTCCGATTAGTATTACATAGTACTTATTACGACAGACATAAGTCGCATGCGCCACAGTAATACTATAGGGTTGTTCTTATCTTTCTGGGCGTTAGTACTTGAGAATGCCAAGTTTACTCCTCCTATCATGTACTGGGTGCTGTTTGCGTCGAAGCAAAACAAGTATGGTTCTGTTACTCCTGTTAGTTCGGTACTGTCTAGCGTTAAGGCTTTAAAGTGGGTTTACTATGAATAGCCTCTTCGCCTCCAGCTTTGTTTACCCTATCTCGTCGAACAAGTGTCATATCTTCAATTCTTACTTCATCATTCTTGATTTGAGTGGAGAGCTATTTTGGTTTAAACTATGATCTTCAGATTGAACTAAAATCACATGTACCTGATTCCTACTCACTTACCATTTAGTCCTTTTAAGTTGGTGTATAGGTATTTGATGGTTTGTCCCATCATTAGGTGCTTCTCTATGGTAGCATTCATTTTCACGGATTTGAATGAATCGTCGTTTATGGTGGGTAAGAAGTTCTGTAGGAAATGACCGCTTCAAGTTTTTTGCCTTTACAGCGAACACCGTTAGTGAAACCGTAGCCTCAGTGTCTCGTATCATGAGTTGCTGGTCAATGTTAATCGACATTGTATTGTGTTCCATAGGGCATTTCTGCCGTAATCTTGCCGATATATTTCGGCCCCCATATTGTCTGATGCTGGATATGTCATTCCTCCAGCCATACACAGCCTGGAGGACCTTAGTTAGATCTTCTTGCCTTCTGAAGTCCACAGTCATCGGACGTGAAGACTCATTGGTCATAAGGTTGAACGGACGAGGTAGCTAAGGCATGTTAATTGTTATAGCAGTGTCAAGATTTATGCTGTGATAGCCAACGTCACTGCTGCATGCCACATCTGTGAGTTTCGTGCGATGTCAATAAAATTTATTTCGCAAAGTGTATTGAGACTAGAGTTACACTTAATAGAGATGAATTTGTATTGGTTCTACCCACATAATCCTCAAAGCTGAACATGAGACAACTGGGAAAATAGATATTCAACATTCAACATGGAGAGAAGGCCAACAATCGTGAACGCGGGAATATTCATACGTTCAAAGAGATAGCATGGCTCGGCATTGCAGACGTAGTCATTCTGTATGACATGTCTTTACTCACACTAAATATATCATTCTATCTTTAGCCTAAATATGTTTTCTTGAAACTTCAGACATCATATTGTTATGATACGAAGAGTCAGTGTGGACAGTGATGCGACTCACACGTCAGATCCCATAGATTAGGCAGCCACATCATGACGTATCTTCAGTTTTAGGATCAGGTCTATTATTATAATGGTACTAATAATGAATTAGAATATAATTCTCCGACGTTCAGCAAAGTAACTTTGGTAGCATTTTCGTGTGAATATCATCTGCGAAGATTTAGATAGGTCAATCAAGCCTACGCTTGTCAACTGCTCATCACATGTTATCGCGTTTGATACTTTTACACCCAGAAGTTAGCTTTTGA